TTAACTGGGAATATGACCCCAGGAGCAGGAATAATGAACACGGGAGTAAAAACAGGGAAGAAGGAAAAGCTGAAAAAAAGGATGCATTATCAAAATGACTGTGGCTATGGCCAACTTGTGCTGGATGCCATAGTTCTTCTAGAAGCCTTAATGAAATCCATGAAATAAAAAGGAGAAGACATTTTCCATTGTCTTCCATCCCCTGTGGTTGAAGGTGTCCCCTTGGACTTTGACTACTGCATAGCCACTTGTAGGTTGCATATGTGTGGCAATTCAATGGCATCTCACATATCTGTGTCAGAAAAGTTCCAGAGAAGGAAGCAAGAGCCTCACACCTTGACCAAAGGTGAGGTACTCTCTAGTTGCACTTGCCGGAAGCTGGTCAAAGTCTATGAAAACTGGTAGTAGAAACAGGGACTTCAGTAAGATGTGGATGAGAAGATTTAAGTAATGCACAAGTAGCATTTGATATGGCAGAACCTTTGCGCTACTGAGATTCATCCTTTTTCTTTATTAACTCTAGTCTGTCTCCGGTTTCCTTCAAGGTGCTGGCCAGCCACAACCTCTGCAAGAGGGTTTTTGGAACTAGCTGAAGCCCCTATTGCTGTCAGTGGTCCCAAAGCCTTATTGATAGTCGTCATCTTTCTCCTCCACTATTTATTCTTAATTTCTCTCTTCCTTGGCCAGTATCTCAGCTGGTCTAAGATTGCTTGCCTGAGAGTTAGCCAGACCTTCTTCCCTTAGGTTTCACCATTATCAACTGGAACAAAATGCTGAGATGCACCAATCAAGTTCCTGGATATTCTCCCTGCCTCCATTATAAAGCAGCTACCCAGGCTTTTTATGTTAATGATGGTAGCTTAATCCTGAAAATATATTAATATATTATTCCCCTTTGTTTAATGGTCTAGGAATGAGGAGCCTAATTACTAGAATGAAGAGCCCAAAGTGACCAGGTGATAGTCATGTTCTGCGGAACTCTTACTTGGTCCTCTGGTGGAGGTGTTCTCCTTCCTGGGATCTAGGAGCTCTAATCCAGCAGAGCTTAAGGTTTCAGGAACAGGAAGCATAAACTTTGAAAATGGGTTACTAGGAGTAGTGGTGAAAGGGACTGATTGTATTTACACCCCTTGGTTCCTGAAGGGGCATAGTACCATATGTCAGCGATTGATACAGCACATATATCTCATCTTTTCTCCTATCTGGAACTTAAGCTGAGCCCTCAACAGGCCATTCCACCATTGTACTAGATCATGTGCTTCTGGGTGATGAGATACACAATGGATCCTCTGATCATGTACCCGCTGCTATACCACCTTTGTCATAAATGAATCCCTTGAGCAAAGGCAATGTGTGGGGAATGCCAAACATTCTGTAAGCCCTCAGTTAGTGGTGCTGGTGGAGACTCTGATAGCAGAGAATACAAATTCATTGCCAGAGTAGGTTTTAATTCCAGTAAAGATTAATTGTTGCCATCTCCAGGGTGGAAGGGCCATAGACCCACTGCGCCCTCTGAAAGACATTCATTCTTGAGCTAGAACTTTAACTTTTACCTGGCCTCCATATGCCCCCATCCTCACTAAAGGACCATGGTGGCTTTTCTGGTCCTCTGGCATTAATGTCAGCTCGTATCCCTTATCCAAAGGCCCCAAAAAGTCTAACTATTCTTCTTTCTTAAATGTAGTGCTACTATGGTAAATGGCCATAAGGCCCTTTATGGAAGGACAGGGAGAATGTCTATAATTATTTTTGTGATACACGGGGTCTTTCCTTAAGGGCACTGGGTCTGTGAAGTTATATAAATATAAAAATTGGGTAAAGGATCTGGATTTTCCATTATGATAGCTGATTACAGGATTCTGCTCTCCAGATTCCCTTTTTTGTTACACATAGAAATAAATAATCACCCAGTCAGCTGTCCATTTGTCTCACCTCAAAAAAAAACACACTGATTTATCAGCCTCTGCCACAGATTTCTGCAGATCAAGGCAACCTAACTGCTGCTACAGACTTCTCTCTGTGTCAGTAATTACAACCATCTTGCCTCTCATAAAGTATTGTTACATGGGTTCTGCCATTCATAAATCCCCTAACCCCACTGATACTAGAAAGACCAGTTCCACAGCAGCACCTCCTCTTAATAACTGTGACCTGTGGAGGACAGACATCACCAAATTTGATAAAAAATGTTGATGTCCCTCTCATCAGTGAATTACTTATTGCCTCACTGAAGGGAATGTGTTAGGTTCTAGATATCACATAACAAATCCAGTCAAATAGCCCAGCTGGTGTGGTTCAGTACTTGAGCATTGACCCATGCACCAAGAGGTCACCAGTTTGATTCCTGGTCAGGGCACATGCCCAAGTTCTGGGCCCAATTCCCAGTGGAGGGTGTGTGGACGGTGGCCAATCCATGTTCTTTCTCACCGATGTTTCTATCTCTCTCCCCCTTCCCTTCCTCTCTCTCTGAAATCAATAAGGGAAAAACATTTAAAATCCAGTCAAACATTCCCATCTCTAGGAGCCTTTGGACATAATCCTTTATATGATGCCAAAGCAATTTCAGCATCTCTACCTCATTTTCCTATTAGCCATTATCACATCCAAACTTCAAGGAAACATCCCAGCAGCATATTAGGACCACTCCAGGTGTTCTTCTAGGGTACTGAACACCAAGTCATAAGTGAGTTTTCTCATGCCATAAATTCCCTGTACAGCCTTTTTTTATTCCCCCTACTAATTCAACACCTACATATTTTCCCCGGGTTCCTTTTAGTATATAATGTGGGACCTGCAATTACTGTACATCATTTCTTCCTAAAGTAAGGATTATATTTCCCTACTCAGGTGTCTGAGATCTGATTCAGTTACTGGAGTGGAGACGATTGTTGGTGGCAGGGCTGGACCATGAGGAGGACAATCATCATTTCGTGAGTTGCCTTCTTTATATGAGAGCCTTATAAGTTTTGGCAGGGTTTCCAGCCGATGGTCTCCTTTAGCAAAGAGAATGAGACTGCTTCTGCCAGTGTAGAGAGTTCAGGGAAATCTGAGAGTGGTTCCCATTCATCTACCCAAATGCCAAAATTCCAGGTTTCAGAACTACATTGTTTTATACCAGGGCCCTAACTCACTACACCCAAAGAGGCTGTGCTTCAGTCTCCTTTGCAGCTAGTTGTCCTGATAATTTGATCCTGGGCCTGATTTTCACCACAGACTCTCCTGCAGATGCAGGAAATGATGTTCTCATATAATAATGAGTGTATGAGTCAACCCTCCACCTTCCACCTGTACCTCTGCCCAGCCAAACTCATGTAAGAATCTTGGTAGCTTCATGTCACTGATTATCACTACCCCATATCCCATTATCAGTGGTGGGTTATCCAGTTTCCAAATTCCATCCTAATGATCTGCTTTCTAGAACTAATCCTGATACTAGCTATCTTTCCTACAGTTCTCCTGAAAGCAGGATGTGGGACATAGATCTGCATGAGAGAAATTTATTTGAGAATGTGTTGCCAAGTAGCAGAAGTAATTAATGGGAGAATGACATAGAGAAGGATGAAAAGCCAATACAAGGATGTGTTATCAAGTGGGCCATTGCTATGAACTGGTTCTGATCACACAGGATATTCTGAGAAGTTTTATGAAATGTGTATCAATATTGTCCATCCCAGGGTTGAAGAGAGGAATCATTTATTCATCAGCTCCAATCCTCTTTGATCAATGATGGGCCCACAAAGGTTAAGACCCCACACTTCCAAGTTGTAAGTGTTGAGTGCTGAATGGATTCTCTTAAGGATCAGAGAAGCCTCAGGGATCAGAAAGTAAGAGGTCTACATTTCAGGCTCACCACCAGCACACAGTCCAATTACAACTGTGTGAATCTAATCAAAGCCTGAATGGAAATGGTCCTAAGCAGCTGTGGCTGGAGTAAAGGATGAGGCTAAGAAGATCTGAGGCTAATTAAATTAATATGAAAGAGGACTGATTTGCAAGAAGCTTACTGGTAGGGATGGGTGGAAAAGCAACCTTGTGGTGGGCCAATGAATTGGCACCTATCTGCAGGGAACTAAATGTAAATGAAATTAAAACGATTTGTAGATTGTGAGGATTGAGTTAAATAATGCAGGTGAAGTTTCTATCAATTTAAGTGTGCAATAAATAGTAGCTTTAAAAAAATCTGTATTATTCAAATCTTGATTATAGGGCACAGCTCTTGGCATGCATACATTTGTATCACAATAAACAGATGCTGAGTTAAAAATTCAGGCTGAAGATGATGAAGTCCCTAATCTGTGTCTGTCAGCAGCAACCCTTTCAACTGGTGTCTATTTTACTTTCACTACCCAAAAGGGTATCCTCTGATACTCCAAGTTGTTGGGTTTTGTTTGTTTCTTTAGAGAAATAGCAAAAATAAAATAATCCAAGGAAGTAATTATAAGATGCCTCTATAGAATGGGGAAAAGGAAGTGTAGCAGGTTGGGGTGTATATGGTGTATTTTCCATTTCTTGCCCACTAGGTGGTAGAACAGAGCCCCTATTCTGACAAGAGTTCTTTCTCACGGGTTTGAGTCTCTCTTACAACGCTCACGCAAGACTTTGCACGAGTAAGAAATCCAATAAATTAAATGTTTTCAAACCTTTCGCTTGGAAAGCAGGGCTGAAACGACAAGGGTGGAGAAGGTTTGAAAGAGCAGATGAAAAGCGCGGAAATACAAGGACTAGCGGAGCTAAACTACATTTCCCAGAAAGCCACGGGCTGGGCCTACAACACCCATCATGCATGTGTCCCTCCCTACTCTTGTGACCGGTTGGTGCTTCCAGGTTTCTAAGGAGCACAGAGAAAGACGCGGAGTCTCCTCAGGTGCTGCAGCGGCGGCTCTTAACCCGCTAAAGTAGCCTAAGCCGAGGCTATTCCGGCCTTCACTCTTGAGGGCAAAAAGACGCTAACCACAGTCCGGTAGGACCCATGAGCCACGTGACGGCCCGAGTCATGTGACTCCCGAGCTTGGCGGCTTAACTCTGTTACCCTGACAACTAACTGCTGGGCCCGCAGCCGACCTTGCGGCGAAGTGCGGAATTCGGAGGCCAAGGTAGGTGAAGCATGGACACATGCTTCCCACCCGGTTCAGCATGGCCAAGAGTGTCCCCAGAGCTTTAGTTTCGGGTCAGTCCACCTCCGCCCGGACTCCAGCTGCAAGTGCGCCTTTGTCCTCCTGCCAACTCCGGAGCCCGCGCTTCCGGGAGCGGACCGGCTGTGTGAGCACCCTTTGGGTGGGGTCCGCGGGCCAAGACCTTAACCGTACACACCTTGAACTGATGAGAGTGCGAATGAGGGTGAGAGGCGCTATTCTGCAGGCTGGGCAGTGTTGTCGGCCCCGCGTACCCCGCCCTCCCCGCCTCTGAGAACGGAAGCTGGGATGTGCGGCGACCTGGAGGCGCGCTCTCGAGGGGTGCAGGGGACAGCTTTGCGTTGCACGTCGCTATTGCATCGTTTTTTGCTGACTGCCTTGCGCCGAAGAAGCTTAATTGATTCTAATTGGTATACTACATTAATTTTACTTTAGGTGGATTTTGAGTCTCAGTAAGTTCCATTTGACTCCATTTGTCTGTCTTTGGAAACATCTCCATGTCTGGAAAGCCAGTTTTGCAAAGCTATGAATATGGATTGATAGATAACTAGCTGAATCATAAGACACCACAAATTGCCCTGTGCTTTGCAAAAAAAAAGAAACAGTCTTTTAGATTTGCCAATTTTTAAATTTTAAAAAGGTTCCTTAAGAGGACGTGGTTTGTTTAAGGGATGTTGAATTTTAACACACGCACACACACACACACACACACACACGTGTAGAGTTAGGAAATATTGTGGAGGCCACCCTTTAACACTAAATTGGATATTAACAATAAAAATGTGTTTCTGGACCCTAAGTACAAGGCGACCTGTGAAAGCTGCTTTTCCAAGTCAGTTTTATGAATGAATTGGGAATCTCTTGTCCAGCTTACTGGTCCCCAAGTGTGTATATGTACTAAATCATAAGAAATGTTGAGTTTTAAGTATGATTGTTTTCATAATGTGCTATAGATTTCCTCAAAAGATGTTTATTGTTTCTTGTTGTTTAGTGTGACCAGTGTTGTAAATACTTTGGAATGTTTCCTTTGGGAAGTGAAAATTATTGATCATGGCTGGCTATTCCAAAGAAGAACTGGATAAAGAGTTTGAAGAGTTCATGAAAGAGGTAAGTTTATATTTATAAAAGCTGTATTGTAAATTTGTCTCAAGAAATTTGTCCTTCAATTTTCTCTTTCACCTCTAAGATACAGCCCATCATCAAGGTTCTTCAATTCTGTCTCCAGAATATACCTATCATCCGTCTAGTTCCCTTCCTTTTCACTGCCGCCATCCTAGTCCAGGACACCATCAGCTCAGCTGGGCTACTGTAGCACCTTCACCACTCTGCAGCCTGCATGATCTATTACATACATCAGACTCTGTTGGCCTCCTGTCATATAGAATAAAAGTCCAAACTCTTTCTCACGGTTTACAAAGCCCTGGACGATTTCTCTCATGCCTTCCTCACTGACTTTATACCACTCTTGCTCATTATCCACTTATGTTACATTGGCCCTTCTTTCCCCCAGACATGCCAAGTTTAATTCACATTAGGGGCTTTACACCAGCCGTTCCCTCTGCCAGTAATGCTGTTTGCCTATTCTTCACCTGGCTAGTGAAAATCACCTTAAATATCACTACCTCAGAGAGGGATTTTATCTGTTCAGTAAAAAAGTAACCAGTAGGTCACACCAAGTCACTTCTTAGTATACCATGTATTTAATTTTCTGTGTAACACTTAGCACGATTCATTTTTTACTTGTATAGATCTATTTTCTGCCTTCCATTATAAGAATGTTTAGTCTGTGACATGATGGTTATATGTTCATTGGTATATGTACAAATTAAGGGTTACACCACGTCCTATGTTTTATATGCATGAAGAGGCCTTGTAGAACATTCAGAAGAGTCACATTTTAAACTATTATACTAATGTTCTTGTTCATAAAGGGACTTTGATATATGATGTAGTAGAAAGAACATTACTTTCATTGTCTAACAGGAACAATAATGCCTACTTTGTAGAATTGTTGTAAGGATTTAAAATATCATCTATCAGTTTCTAGGATATAGTAGATACTCAGTATATGAGTCTCACTTGCCATTTAGAAAAATGGTGTGTTTTTTTGTTTGTTTTTTATCAAATATGGGCACATTTTTAAAATTAAATTTATGGGAATTATTTTCATTGTAAAAGATAAAAAGCAGTACAAGTCAATTTTTTTCCTTCAATCCCTCATCATCCCTGCAACACTCTCCCTCTCCTTCCATTTTTCTCCCTCCTCCCCTCCCTCCCTTTCTATCATATTCAGCCTCAACTCAGATAAGCTCTTATGTTGCCCAGCTGGTGTGGCTTAGTGGGTTGAGCATCCTTACATGGACTGAGAGGTCCTGGTTTGATTCTTTCTTAGTCAGAGCACATGCCCAGGTTTCAGGCTCGATCCCCAGTAGGGGGCATGCAAAAAAACAAAAAAAACAAAATCCATTAAAAAACCAAAAAACTCTTATGTCATGTTAGAGATATGGATAAGATAGTGTCTCATTTTTAATAATGAAAAAACACGATTTTAAAGTCATGCAAAAATAATTTTGATAAATTATGATTCAAACAGTTTATTCAGAGATATATGGTTTATATATCTTTGTTTTTAAGATTGGTGGTACCAGCGTTTTTATATACAACTTTATTAAGCTATCACATACCAAACTATTCACCCATTTAAAGTGTGTAATTCAGTGGTTTTTAATATATTCAGAGAGTTATGCAATCATCACCATTATCACTTTTAGAATATTTTACTACTCCCATAAGAAACCCTGTACCCATTAGTATTTACCCCCTTTCCCAGCCTTAGGCACCATTAATCTACTTTCTGTCTCTGAAGATAGGCCTATTATGAACAGTTCATAGAAATGCAGTCATACAGTTATGTGGTCTTTTGTATCTGGCTTCTTCCACTTAATGTTTTCACGTTTCATTCATGTTGTAGTATGTATCAATATTTCATTCCTTTTTATAGCAGAATAATATTTCATTGTATGGATTTACCACATTTTTTACCCACTTTTCAGTTGATAGACATTTGAGTTCTTTCCACTTTTTGGCAATTATGAATAATTCTGGTATGAACAATTATGCACATGTTTTTTGTGTGGATGTATGTTTTCATTTCTCTTGTGTATATACCTAGTAGTGGAAATGCTGGGTCATATGTTAACTCTGTTTCAGCTTTTGAGGAACCGCCAGGCTGTTTTCTAAGTGGCTGTGCCATTTTATATTCCCACCAGCAGTGTATTAGTGTATAGGGTTCCGATTTCCTCATATCCTTGCCAGTACTTGTATTGTCCAGGGACCAGCTTTTTTCTTTTGTTTTGTTTTTAATGATAGTAATCTGGAAAGCAGTGTGCAGTATTGTCAAAAGTGGGAATACCTACTATATATTAGACAGTGGGGTGGGTATTTTTTTTCTGATTTTTTTTCCACAATTCTGCATGGTCAGTGCTACTATGATTATTTTTAACAGATGAATAAAGTAAAAAGGGGTAATTTTCCCTAAGCAACAAAGCTAGCACATTTTGAAGTTGAAATTTCAACACAGTCCTGTCAGGCCCCTAAAAGCTAAACTCCCTTCACACTCTTATATGGCCATGGGGATTATAAGGAGTAGACTGAGTCTGAGGCAGATTGTCAGGATTTGGTAAACAGTGAGATGTAGGGAGAAGAGAGAAATGGAACATTTCAAAGTGATAGTAAAGTTTAGAGACTGAGTGGAAGGTGATGCAACTTAAATTCAGGTAGGCTAAAGAATATATTTTCTTCTCCCTTCTTCCTGCCTGGTTGTCATGGAAGATAGTGAGTTCTTTTTAAACGTTTTTAAATTGATGGTCTTAAAAATCATTGAGCGAGAGTTGCTTGACTGGTAGGTGGAAATGTGTGTTGTCATCTTGGAATTTTAAAAGGTCATTCTGGTAGCAATGTCCTAGTTGGGAGACGACAGTGTAGTGGAAACTGGACAGCTTTCAGTCATAGAGATCTCAGTTTGAATCCCAGCTCTGTAACACTAACAGTAGCAATTTGGGCAAGTTGTTTAACCTCTTTGAGCTGTTTCCCTGTCTGTAAATCTCTCCTAGATTACTTCAGGATTGAGATAACTTGAGAATAGATCCCGACAGAGCAGGTATGGGATAAATGTTGGTTGCTTCTCCAGGAAGAGTGTAGAATGAGGATAAAAAAGACCAAGAGCAGAGTCCTGGGGAAGCCTAGTGTGAAAGAAGTGGGAAAAATTGCCAAGAACTATTAAAATAGACGGGTGGGGAATGTCATTAAGGTTTTCCCACCAAACCATCAAGTTTTCCACCGAACTTGGAGGAAGTGATGCTGTGAAGTCAAAGGTAGAGAATTTCGAGAAGTTTAAGAGTTGGTCACCAGTATCAAGTTCCACCATGTGATCAGGGAAGATGACTGATGGTGGTCCTTTATTAGTGGTGTCTAGGGGGCCTTTGGTACCTGAAGGATACCTGTTTTGGATGAGATACAGATTGTAAAGGATTGTTTTGTTTTGTTTTGTTTTGGGTTTTGTTTTATTTTTTAAAGTTGAGTAGACTTAAGTGTTCATTCTTCTAGTCCACAACTGTGCTAAATCCTGGGGTTGCAGTGATGAGCAGGTTTATAATCTGAGGGAAGGTGGAGAGGAGAGAGAGGGGATTGGACATACAGACATAAAATGGGTTAATCAAGGAAGTAAGAACCAGGAGAGGTGGGAAGTGACCCCTCTGCAGGTTCTTCGTGAAGTGGAAGAAATAATTCCTCTTCAGAGAAAGGAAAGCAATCTTTTAACAGGTGAGTTTAGTGTTGGAATGAGGGGTAGGAGGGTGGTTTTTTATTGAAGTTCTTTTATTTTCTCATTGAAGAGAGAGACCAAGTTATTGGTTAAGAGTGAGGGGACTAGATTGGGGTTAGAGTGGGGAATTTAGGATTGTACTAAAATTTGGACCTGAAGAATTGAAAAGGACAAATACATATTTATTAAAGTTTATTAATTATTGTGACGAAATGCTTATTTCTCTGGTAAACACCTCAAACTCAATTCCCCTTGGTCTTAGGATTCTGTGTTCTTCTAAAGTGCTGCTAGGTAATTTTGCTCAATCGTTGTTTATTCTTAGATCCTCGAGGATGTCTGGAACAGAATTGTGGGTTTTTTTCTTTTTTCCTTATTAAGTTTTTAAAAAATTTTTTTTCTATATTGATTTTTAAAGAGAGGAAGAGAGATAGAAACATTGAGAGAGAACATCAAGTGGCCACCTCCTGCATGGCCCCTACTGGGGATCAAGCCAGCGACCTCTTGGTGCATGGGTCTACGCTCAACCACTGAGCCACACTGGCCGGGCCTGATTAAGTTTCTTTATCAATTTTTTTTATTTCTTTGTTGTTATTGTTCTCCCTGGTTAGTTTACTTGTTTAATTCTGTGTATGAAATTGATATTCAGAGATATGTGCTTGATGTTTTAAGTTATTTTGATCACATATGTTTAGAAATAAGAATTCATACATTATTGCTGAGTCTATTGCTTATGGATGTGATAGCTAAACTGTGAGAGAATGAAGAAACGATTTTAGTAATGAATCTGGAATTCTCGTATTTAAAATTTAGTATCTTATATCTGATTCAGCTTTCAGATGATTCTTTTGAAAATTCAAACAAAACACCTAGACAACCTAGAAGAGATGTGAAAAAGAAAGATATACTGCCTTGGTGGATAACAGAAGATGACTTTGAAGATGGTGGTAAATATTGCTGATTTTTTATTTCAAATTATTTGAACACAAGGGGTCAGTCAAGCCTTTTAATTCTGGATTTTGTAACTGTACTATAAATATATAAAGAAAATAATACAACTAATGAGCATTTTAGAGGTTTGAATTGATTTTCATATGCACTTTATATATAGTACATAACTGAGAATCTATGTTTCTGCATTGTTAGGTTATTTTACATTGAGAAATTTATATTTGCTTAAATTAAAATGAATTATTTAGGTGTATTTATATATTATGTTTAATGGTTAATTGATTTAAGGTGATTTAATAAAATACTCTGATAACATACTAAGATCATTGCATGGAGAAGATTTTAACAGATCTATAGATTTTTGGTATCACAATCTTAACAGAAGTAACAGAAATAATTTATTGCCTTAATTGTAGAGAATTCATAACTGATGCTGTCTGGTACATGTGTATACCTTTCTCAGAACTATTCCTCATCACATTGTTAACAAATGGAAAATTACTCTCTGGAGTATTTTCTTCAGTGTACTATGTATGATAACCTCTATGTCTGTAAGGAACCCCAGACTACTATGAAATACCTGTTCACACTGTTTGCAGGTCATTAAGCACCATTTATAAACTGATAAGATTTGATATCTCTTCTCTAGGAGAAAAATTTACCCATGACTTTTTTTTTCCATAAAATTGAGCCTGAATTCCTTAATGTGACGGTTAAGGCTCTGCATAACCTGACTAGACCCCTCCTTTCCAGCCTCACGTGCTCCAGCCGCACTCGGTTGTTCCTTCTCTGCTGGAAGCACCACTGACCCCGGGCCTGTGTGCGTTAGTTCCTGCTTTCTTGCCACTAGCGAGCCTTTCCGCTCATCCTTGTCCAGGAAAGTTTGGTATTACCGCTTCTGCAATCCTCCCCCAACTCTTCTAGCTCCCTTATCAACACAATTATTTTATTTTTTGTTTCGGCATCAAAACACCACAATACCTTTACCCATTGTGTTGATAGTTGTAACCTGGAGGGCTGCTCCTGAGGTTGGCAGCTTTGTGAGAGCAGAAAACACTTCTTTTTATCCCCTGACCTTCACTAGTAAATAATGAATGTGTTTAACAAATGTAAGAGTGATTTTGATAGTCCCTTCTCTGTTCTTCTTAATAGTGTACAATAAGGAATTGCCTTCCTGAAAAATTTAGTGCATATTTTTTGTAAACCTCAAACTATGCAACAGTGCTCAAGTCTGCATGTGAAGAAGTTTTTTTTAGAATCTTTCCTCTTGTTGGTGCATGAAAAGGATTTTATATGATGAAGTACTATTGGAATTATTGACAAAGATTTGAGACTTAATTTGCATTAAAGTCTCTTTTCCAGAAAATAATCAGAGATGGAATGATGGTGTGTAAATTCACCCCAATGGGAAAGAATAGGTCCTAGACCAACACTTGAATGTAATCTGACCAAAGGTATTAGTAAATTCTTTTTAATCCTCACTTGAGAATATTTTTCCATTGATTTCTTTTTCTTTTTTCTTTTTTTTTTTTTTTTTTTTGTAGTTAGAGTAGAAGGGAAAGAAGGAGGGAAGGAGGGAGAAACACCAATGTGAGAGAGACACATCCATTGGTTGCCTCCCACGCAACCCCAGCTGGGGCTGAGGATCGAACCTGCAACCCAGGTATGTACTTTTGACAGGGAATCCAACCCAGGACCCTTCGTTCAGAGGGCAACGCTCGCTAACCACTGAGCAAAATCGGCTAGGGCCGTGTTAATAATTTTTAAAATAATTTATCAACCAGAAGTGGATTTGATTAGTAAAGGATGCAAGGAAGTATACTTAAGAAACAAACTTCGACAGTGTCCCTTTACACACAAGGGAGAGGGTGTCTCCACCCAAGAGCGTAATCTGGTCCCTCATTCAGTCATAGACTTATTGAGTTTATGTTATGTTCTGAGTACTAGGTAATTCTTAGTACTAGGTGATTCCTGCCTTGCAGAGTGTAGAAGCTTCTGAGGGAGACCTGAACACCTCTTGAGGAGAGGAGTGCATTACCCATCTTAGACAGATGCCATTAAATGCCACCATTGAGCAACTCCAGCCTTACAATTTTGCTTTCTCTTTCAGTTACCATAAGGATAAAATGTTCTGCCTAGAGCGTAAAACTATCTAATCCTCCTGCTGGGTGTACTCTTCATCACAGATAACTCAGTCAGATCTTGGTTTTGGTTATAGCAGCCTCTTATGAGCATCACATCCCTGCGTCCAGCTTGGAGGCAGGGTGAGAGACCCAGACAGACACCACCGCAGCACCCCACAGCGTGTACTTGTTCTTCTGAAGTGTCTATAGATTGTCTCTTGATTTTCTGCAGCTGTGATAGTTATTTGAGCTATAAAACCATTATTCACACAAAGCCATAAAATAAGTAGATTCTGAACCCTTTCCAAGAGGACAATGCTTAGGAAATTGTAGTTAGAATTTGTGATTTCTTAATAAGGCTTCCTTCTTAGCAGAAGTGGTATTTTTCTAATCTTAATATTTCTATCACATAATATAATTTTTCACTTTATATATCAGTTTTTTATAATAAATATATACTACTAGAATAAAGAAATTTTGATATTACATAACTTTTTCAGTGTTTTCTAATGCTTTTGGAATAAAGAGAAAATCTTACCCCTGGCCTGTGAGGATGAGCAGGTCTAAGCATCAGTTCCTGCTTTGGGCTTATTTCTACCCATACTTACCCTCACTTTTCAGACCCACCTTCCTTGGCTCTTTTTCATCCTCAGATGTGGCAGTTCCCTCCCATTGTTGACCCTTTGTACCTCTTCTTCCCTCTGCTTGGAATTGTCTCCCTTTTCCATGTCAGCTAGTTATTTACTACTGTTCCTTCACATAGCAGAAGATATTCTTTAAAATGGCATGGTATACTATATAAAGTACTGTGCTTCAAAATAACTTTTTAAAATCATTTCTCTTTTCACCCTCATTATACAAAATTTTGAAATATTTTTACAATATGCTGCAAACAAATAGAATTATAGTTTTACTTGTATGAGTTTTAGGTCTGATGAATTTTTTTTAAGTTTTTTTTTTCTTTATTGATTTTAGAGAGGAAGGGAGAGGGAAAGAGAGAGAGAGAAATGTTGAGCAGAGAGAATATTGATTGGCTACCTACTGCATGCCCCCCCATTGGGAATTTGGCCCACAACCTGGGCATGTGCCCTGACCAGGAATCGAACCGGCAACCTCTTGGTACATGGGTCAGTGCTCAACTACTGAGCCACACACCGGCTGGGCAGGTCTGATGAATTTTTATTTAGTCTGGTATTCTTTTTTTTTTTTTTATCCTCACCCGAGGACATTTTTCCATTTTTTGTTCAGACAGAGTGGAAGGGAGAGAGAGAGAAACATCGACGTGAAAGGGACACATCGAGTGGCTGCCACCCACATGACCAACCAGGGCCAGGGACAAACTGCAACCGAAGTATGTGTCCTTAAGCGGGAACTGAACCCAGGTCTCTCTGGACCATAGGCCGACGCTCTAACCGCTGAGCAAAACCGGGCAGGGCTGGTGAATTTTTATTTAATAGACTAGATTTATTTTATAGCTACTGTCCATACAATTAGCATCATGGTGTTGGCATGGTTTTCAAAACAAAGTCCTAAATATAAATATCCAACAATATTAAATCCCATCCCTAGGACTGCTTGGAACAAATGTAAGCTATCTGAAAACAAAGAAGACTTCTCAGCCTATTATGGACATAGAAGAGGAGTCTGCTGAAAGGATTCAATTTCTTAAGAGCAGTGGAACCTCTATCTTAAGCGTTGACAGCTTAGAAACAAATGGTAAGAAATGCGAGAGCTATGAGTGGACAGGTTAATTACCAGGCTTATAATCAGAATTTTTACAAAACTTAACTCACAACTATCTTGTAACCTCCTTTATGAATCACTTAGATTTAATATCTTCCTAGAACAGCGGTTCTCATGCTGTGGTTCATGATCCCTTTGGTGGTCGAACAACCCTTTCACAGGGGTTGCCTAAGACATAACAATAGCAAAATTACAGTTATGAAGTAGCAATGAAAATAATTTTATGGTTGGGGGTCACCACAACATGAACTGTATTAAAGGGTTGTGGCGTTAGGAAGGTTGAGAACCACTACAGGTTAAATACTATGCTTACAATCAAGAGTTTTTACAGAACTTAACTCACAACTATCCTATAACCTCCTTTACGAAGTACTTAGATTTAATATCTTGCTAGAAGGTTTACAGTTACACTTTTAGAGAAGCCTTATAACTTTGCATATTGGTTATGAATATAAATCTGTATCGGTGGGTGAAAGATCAAGTAAAGTATGTTTTATATTTTTAAAAATTTTACTATATGATGTTAATAAATGCATCATTAAAATTAATTTTATCAAAATTTTGAATGTTAATAAAATGCATTTTGTTTTCCATTTAGAGATAGTAGTTTCTGAGCTCAATCATAGTGTTCTCGGATTGGGATTGGACACATTAGAAGAACAAGAGGAAAAAGAGCAATTTTTTGCCAGACTTGAGAAAGGCTTAACATCTTCCATCGATTATTCAAGATTAAATAAAGAATTGGATTCTAATGATTCCACACATTTTAAAGCTTTACATAGGTAATGTAAATATATTATAAACTAATGATTAAGTGATTTTTGTGTTTTTCTGTATTTTTGGAAGGCTGGTACCTACATGGACTAAAATAGGTAAATCTTATAACAGGCAAAAGTAGAATTTTATTTTTAACTCTATTCTTTGTTCATTATGTTGGTCAGAGTTTTTCTTTTATATGAATAGAATGCATTGATTTGTATTCGAAAGCTCACTCTGCCTCTATTTATCTGAAATTTCATGCCTGAGATATTGTTGAGACTAACGGCACATTGCGAGAAAGACCTTACTATACATCAAGTTATTTTCCACAGATAAGGTAACTAAGAGAGTCCAGGTAGCTGTCATACACTCTTTGTGTATATTTGACCCTAATGATTTTCTGAAAACCTCATTTATTCTGGAAATCCTACTAGTCAGCTGAGCTGCTCCTCTGTAAGTACGGTAGATTTTTAACATTTTCAAGAACTTTGTGAAACCTGATATCTTTAATTTTCTCAATTTTACATATGATTTAATTTTTTAAATTTTAAGAGAAAGTCAGATTATAATTTAAGATTTTGAAGAACAGCAAACTATAATTATATTAAGGGCCTGGAGAATCATAACCTCTGGTTATTAGAGTACCTGTTCTCCTCATGACACTTAGTTTCTTATAGATGGTGGACAAAACAATGACTGTCATGAACTGTGTAGGTGCTGAGATTTTTACCCTACTTGGAAGTTAACAAGTTAGCCTGCCAGTTTTATGGACACTGACAGTAGACACAAGATTCCTCAATCCAAAACAAAGGACTTTATTTCTCACAGCAAAAGTGGTTCAGTACTTTGAGTGTCAAGTTTATTTGCCTCAGTTCCCTATGTCCCACAAGGCCTGTGGGGGCAACACAAAGCGTCCGTGGTGGCTGTCTGCACAGGTGGTAGGTTGCTCTACAGGAGAGGATCAGTCACAGCCCAGAGAATCTACTGCTTTATAGTAGAGTAGAAACAAGCCTTCTTTTGGGGCAGAACATTGCTTCCTCTCTCAAGGATGCTCACTGCAAACACAGACCTGAGAAATGACCTAGGAAAGGGGGCTGGGGGGTCCATACCTTGCATTCTTGGCATGCCCAGCAAGAGCATGCAGACCCATGGCGATTGCCTTTCCCTGGTGACAACATGGACTGAGCAAGTATAGGTTTTTAGTTACAAGTTTTTGCCCCTTTGCTATATTTCTTAACTTTTTTCTGATTTCTTAACAATATTCTTAACCACTGATATTTTTGCTCCAAAACATACTAGTCAGAGTATAGCATATGCAATATTTTTTTCTGCCATTAGTATTAGTATTATTAATATAGTTTTATAATTTTTTGGACCTTCTGATCATACTAAAGACAGATTGATGGACTGAAAAAGGTAGAACTTATTCCTGGACGTGAAAGAAAGCAGTATCTGAATGAATATATCCAGTAGAATTCAAACTTGCTCAAGCTTCTCTGTTGCCTTGCTGAGATTTTCTTGGTTTAAGCCTCCTATTCAGCTCCCATTTCAGGATTAAATTGCTTGTTAGCATGTAAATGATGACCCTGGCATTTTTTTCTGGCCTCCTTTAGACTTCACTGGTTCTCATAGCTTGTGGTCAATTCCTAGTCTTTAGTGTTAGAAGCATATCTGGATCCTGAGACATATAAATGCACACATTTATGTATAAAGTTTAAAAATACGGCATTTTTTCCTTTGTATTTTGTCAGCTACAATTAAGCTTTAAAGAACTTTTATTTTAAAAATGATTTTCTTATTGCTCCCAAACTTTTTGCTTTTGATAGAATAAGAGTACTTGAAGTTAAATACATAATGTTAAGAGATTTTTTTAAATAGATACAAAGGATTGCATGTACTTTTAACATGTAATACTAAATTACGTAAATATTTTTGCAGTAATCAAGCTAATATAGAACTAACTGAAGATAAACATGAGAATGAATCGAAACATGAAGAACTGGCAGGTAATTTCATTGGTTTTAAATTTTTGGTTTAAAAATACTGTTTTTTCAAACAATATTTGAAAAGATAATATAGCTTTTAATAAAATTGATAAGAAAAAATAATTAAAAGGAAAGTCATATTGTATTGGACAGAGCTGTGAACAGGTAGAATGAACTGCCTATGTTGTAATCTGAGCTACCAACAGGTTGTTAAAAGTGCAGTGCTGCCCTGGCTGGTTTGGTTCAGTGGTCAGCCCATGGCCCAGAGAGTCACGGGTTTAATATGTCAATGTCATATACCTTGGTTGCAGGTTCAATCCCTGGTCCCTGTCAGGGTCGTGCAGGAGGCAACTAATTGATGTGTCTCTCTCTACCTCTCTCTCCCACCCTCCTGCTCTATCTAAAAAAATTCAATGGAAAAATATCCTCAGGTGAGAATTTAAAAAACAAACGAAACTGCCCTGCTCCCTTGTTTGTTGGGAGTGGACAGTGGACCAGTTGGGAAGACAGACAAAAGAAGTTCTGTGCTAGGACCAGGGAAATCTGTGGAGCCAAGACAAATACCTTTAAAGCTTGGTGGGAGTGGCATTATAGTTTGCCATTTTTTGACTTTTTTTTTTTTTAATCCTCAACTGAGGACACTTTTATATTTGTCTTCAGATAGAACGAGAGGGAGAGAGAGAGAGAGAGAGAAAAACATTGATATGAGAGAGACACATGGAGTGGTTGCCACCCATAGGACCCTATCTGGGGCCGGGGACAAACTGGAACCGAGGTACGTACTCTTAGTGGAAACCGAACACGGGTCTCTCTGGACCGTGGGCCGACGATTGAACTGCTGAGCCAAACCGGCCAGGGCTCCATCTTTTGACTTTTAATGTATCTGTGTTTTTATATTTAAAATGATTTTCTTGTAGATAGCATATAGCAGGGTTTTGCTTTTTTATCCAATCTGACAATCTCTGACTTTTTTAAAAAATATTTTTTGATTTTTTTTAGAGAGAGATGAAGGGAGAGAAAGATAGAAACATCGATGTGAGAGAGAAACAGATCCACTGCCTCCTGCACACCTCCTACTGGGGATCAAGCCTGCAACCCAGGCATGTGCCCTGACCAGGAATCGAACTGGGACCTCTCAGTCCATGGGACAACGGTCAATCCACTGAGCCACATCAACCAGGCACCTCTGACTTTTAATTCATGTGTTTTCTACACTTTATAAAAATATATTTATTGGAATGGTTATTTACTGTTTTGACATTTGTTTTTGTATCTTTCCATATTTGGGGTTTTTTTGTTTTGTTTTGGTGGGTTTTTTTGTCCTGCATTCTGTTGGATTGAGTTTTTATAGCATTATCCCGCATTATCCCTTCTTTTGGCTTGTTACACCTCTTTGCTGTTTTTGTTTTTTTTTCTTTGTTGCCCTACGATTCACAATATGCATCTTTTTCTTATTAGAGTTTACTTTCAAATAATACACCATTGCTAACAGTTCTATAGCTGAAAGTAGTAGAACTAAATGAACCCAAGCCTTCTGGCTCCTGATCATGCTCTTAAGCACTGTGTTACACTACCTGCACATACTACCTGTTTGCAGTCACACAAACACTACATCCCCTTCCACTGATTTCAGTAGTTCCCAAATCCCAAGTAGTTAGCTGAATTCATTGTCATGCCCTCCCATGTCTCCTCCTTCATTGTACATTATCTCCTTTTAAGCAAGTCTAATCTCTTAGGTTACTTAAAAGTCAGTGATTCCCACCTAGAATATTAGAATCTTAATCATTTTTTATATTGGTCCTAGAACCTAGAACAGTGTCTAATACAAAGTAATTTCTTAATAACTGTTTGTGAATGTAATTGTGTCTGATATTTAGAAAATCCCAGTGTTCTTTCTCATATTTCTCAACCTTCTAATATAGATGTTAACCAACGCTCTTCCAACCTCAAATTCCTTATGAACTAAAGTGGAAATGTTTCTGTAGGCAGATCTCACTGGGAGCATCTCTATTTAACTTCCAGCCTTCTCAGCTTTATTCCCAAACTTCTATTAATAACTACACTTAAGTTGTCCCTCCATTCTAGGAGAAGACTGAAAAACAACCTTTCCAGAAACAGACTGTAGTAACTCATGCAGCCTTTCTCCCATTGGGCCATCCTGTTTCTCAATGTGATGTAACTTTTGAAATACAAGTAAGACTGCATTTCTTTCTAGAATGATTGATTCTACCCTGAAAAGGTTGTTCCCCTTTACAACCGGCAGATCTCAGTCAGTCCTTCATAAGGGCTATAAACAAGTTACAAATTGTTGAATAGATCCTGGCCAAATCATCCCTGCCCTGTCTTCCCCATAAATAGTCTGATGGCATCATGTTAACATGGACACACCTTTTCCATCTGCTGCAAAGCCATTGAGATATAATTTGGGCCTTTAGCTGAGAAGTGCCCAGGATTGGGAAACAGTGAAGGTCATATAGAGCCTAAGGGGGGAAGTACAGTCGGCCCTTGTTTATCACGGTTCATCAGTTCCAGACTCTACCACAATAAATGAATATCCACGAAGTAGGATTCTTTATTTATACAGTCATCCCTCGCCACTTCGCGCTTTGACTTTTGCCACTTCACTCTATTTCGTTTCTTTCAAATACTATACTACGAAAAAAACACAATAGAGTGAAGCCACGAAAGTCGAAGTATGAAGTGGTAAGGGACATCTGTATCAGAGATAGACCTCTCATGACTACCATTTAAGGCTTATAGTAGAGATACCTACAGAGACTAAAATAATCGACTTAAAAAATAAGCAAAATCTGTCATTTTATGAGTCAATATTTTACAAAAGTGCTGCCTCGCATAAGTAAGCAATTTGAGATTTTTGTCTTTAAAAAAACAAATATTTTTAAAATTATTATTATTTTTTTTTTATCCTCACCGGAGGACATTTTTCCATTTTTTGTTCAGGTAGAGTGGGAGGGAGAGTGAGGAACAGAGAGAGAGAGAGAGAAACATCGATGTGAAAGGGACACATCGAGTGGCTGCCACCCGCACAACCGACCAGGGCCGGGGACAAACTGCAACCGAGGTACGTGCCCTTAGCGGGAACCGAACCCGGGTCTCTCAGGACCGCAGGCCGATGCTCTAACCGCTGAGCCAAACCGGCCAGGGCTAAAATTATTTTTATTAATTTATTTTTGTTACAGATGTTTCTCCTTTTTACCCCATTGACACCCTTCTCCCAATCCCCCTCCCCACCCCCTGCCACCTGTTTTAAAGATGATATAAAATCTTATGGGCAGTGCTAGACATTTTTAGTTAGTTAATAATATAAAAGACTTAAAATATAAAACTCTTATAAATACTTGGAAGCACAAAAAATGTAATAAAACTAAGGTAGTTTTATGAATTGAATTATTAAATCTTTGCCAAAACATCTGTTACTTTATGTAACAGATATTTTATGTTAATATTTTAATAAATTATTCTTAGGCAAAAATCTTTTTTTGGGAATCAATCTTTTCCTGGAATTTGACTTTTTTGACAATATGATCCTTATATTTTTTAAAATTATTTTCTTCAGGAAATTACAGTGACGATTTTGAAGATGAGGAGGATATTGGTGCACCTTTGACCACTAAAGATGAAGAAACTAATTCCAAAGAAAATTCCAAATCAGAAAAAATAAATGCACCCAAACAGGTATACATCAGTTATGTGTTTGACAGTTTTGAAACTTCTTTTATCACTTTAGCTGTCACTATTTGAAGAGTTCTTTATAGTCTCTCTCATTGTTATAAAGTTACAGGTCTCTTAACATACAGACATTTCCTTAACTCAGGTATCAGTTTGGTACAAACCTTAGTGAAATATCATGGCAATTGATGATATTCTTAAAGATATCTTTTGGCAAGTAATTTCCTTAAGTTAAGCTTTAGAATTTGAAAATCATTAAAATCTCAAATCTAATTTTAAGCAGGTATAATAAATTATACTTATTTTTTTGGTTGGTCTTGTCCTTGTGAATATAATAAATACCCCTCCTTAGTAGTATTTATGCTAGTAGTGACATTAGTGTCTCAGATTTACTTAGCTGAGATCATGAATTAAATTATTCTCTTCACATTCAACATTGCTATCTATACTCTATCTTGTGTCTTAGTTCTTACCAAGACCAATTAAGGGTACTACAACATATTGCCTGCCTGATATAACTTACCCTTGAGCTATCTAATAAGTAACTGGTAGGACAGTTATTATTACATTGGTCTTGATCTGGACACAGTCTCTTTTGGGACTGTCTGTTAGGACTAGATGTTTTGAATATGTGTGAAATCATAAACTCTCTAAAAAGAAGTAAGGAACATTTTTGGGTATTAATAAATGCTCTTAAGAAAATTATCTATTCTTACCCAGTACTTTGTCTTTGGGTGTCTCTATCATGTAAGTTAGGTGGAAAAACCAAGATGATCTTAGATTAATGAGATCTGATGGGTATCTTTAGAAATGTAATAGAATTGATACTTGGAATATAGCAATTACAACATTTCATGAAAAATAAATAGGTCAGTAGAAGGCACGATAATGTGGTGTATTACGAAAGGGTAGCCTGCATTAAAAAAAAAAAAAAGTGTCAGCCTAAATGTGGAAACCTAGGAGAGAGTCATCTGTGTAAGGATCAGAGTAGGAAGGAAATAAAGCTCTTTTATAACGAGATAATCTTACCATCTATTCAAGTGGAGAATATAGGTGACACTAATTAAAAAGTTATTCTAAGGGAACCTGTAATATTGATGAATTTCAACTCTTATCATTTCGTAGCCCACCTTTTTGAAAATGTTCTCTCAAAATACAGATGAAACTATGAATACAAGTTATATTTAATCATTAATTTTTAACAGTAAGGGGGGGGGGTGTTACAATAGATGGAATCTTATATGAGGTATACATGTTATCCTGGAGTTCAAAAAAAAGAATTTCTGAGTAAAGTAGATGAGCCGATAGCATCTGGATACTTTAAACAAGGCTGTTATAAAGGCCTAAATTAATTACTGGTAATTTCCAAGATTCTGAAGAGACTTTTGGAAGTTCTCTCATATCTACAATCTCTAGTCTTACAGAATAAGTGTGATAAAGAAACCTAGAAAGAACATTTCCTGATCTTTTCATAGTGGAGTAAAGCACTGTCTTTCAAAATTTGTTACTGTTTCCATTGTCATTTTACTTAACTTTGGTTTTAAATGATATGATTCTTTTCTACCTTTAATTTAGGAAGAAGAGAAAACTGGCATGCTGGCCAATGGTAAATTTTATATTTATGTATTGTAGTTGGCAAAAAAACTTTTCAGAATTGCATCTAAATAATTCTGAATAAAATCACTATCTATACATGTTTTTTAATATCCCTAATGAATTAAAGTTCACAGCTTGTCTCAACAATATGTCTCTTCTGCCTGTCTTGAATCCTTCCTGTTATATTTAAGAACATTTCTTTTTTAAGAGCCCAGGACTAGACAGCTTCATTGGTATATTCTACCAAACATTCAAAGAAAAAATTAATACCAATTTTTAAAACTCTTTTAAAGAACAAGAAGGAATACTTCCAAACTCATTCTATGAGGCCATGATCACCCTGATACCAAAATGAGAGAAACTCATGAAAATAAAACAATCTCATTTAAAATAACATCCAAGAGAATAAAATACTTAAGGATAAATTTAACCAAGGAAGTAATAAATATGTGCACTGAAAACTAAAAAATATTGATTAAAGAAATTGAAGCAGACACAAGTAGATGGAAAGATATTACATGTTCATGGATTAGAATTACTATTGTTTTAATGTCCATACGACCCAAAGTGAACTACAGATACAGTGCAGTCCCTATCAAAATTTCAATGGCATTTTTCAAAAACAATCTTAAAATTCCTATGGAACCACAAAATATCCAAATATCCAACAGAATTTTGCAAAAGAAGAACAAAAGTGGAGGCATCACATGTCCTGGTTTCAAACTATGTTAAAAAGCTGTAGTAATCAGAACAGTATGCTGTTGGTGTTTAAAACACATATAAGTCAATGGAACAGGATAAAAAGTCCAGAAATAGACCTATGTCTATAGGGTCAATTAATTTTTGACAAACACTAAGAATACACAGGAAAGGATAGTCTTCCTCAATAAATGGCATTTGGAAAATGGATAACCACATACAGAAGATGAATCTGGGCCCCTATCTTACAACATATATAAAAATCAATTAGAAATGGATTAAAGATATGTGTGTGTGTGTGTGTGTTCAACCCTAAAATAAATAGTAAACCCACCATTTGCAACAACAGGGATGAACATGGAGGACATTTCGTTAAGTGAAATCAGGCAGACACAAAAAGACAAATACTAGATCTCATATGTGGAATCTAAGAATGCCTAAATCATAGAAACAGAGAATAGAATGATGGTTACCAGGGGCTGGGAGAGCAGGATATGGGAAGATGTTGGCTAAGGGGTACAAAGTTTTAGTTAATAGTCTAGTGTGCAACAATGTGACTAGTTAACAATATGTATTGTATACTTGAAATTTGCTAAGAGGGGATCTCAAGTCTCACCACACCAAAGAAGGTAACTGTGCAAGGTGATGGATGTTAATTTGCTTCACTGTGATAAATTTTTTGCAATGTATAAATATATCAAATTGCCAAGTTATACACCTTAAATATATACAATATTTAATTGTCAGGTATATCTCAATAAAGTTGGAGAAAAAAAGAATATTTTTTTATTTTTCTCAGGCCCTTTGCCTTCCACATATAAATATACATTAGGCCTGTATATAAGCATAGATACGTATGTTGATATAAACCTACTTTGTGTACATAAGAAAATTATGCTTATTTATTATAGATATATGATTATATGTGTAAATACTTATCTTTGTTTTCATATGGATTGTATATAATTAAAATACTTTCTTAAAGGAACCATACAAATTTATTTACATTTCTAATTTTTTTTATATATTGTTCCAGTGGTACTGCTTGATTCATTAGACTCTGTTGCAGAGGTCAACCTTGACGTACAAGATAAGGCAACAACTGTGCCCCAGGTCCTGCCTGAAATAACTGATAATGAAATGACAGGAACAGGTAAGCATGTTTGACAACCTCAATCTTTACTAAATGTGTAATATTTTATGACTAATTTATTTCATTTATATATAATACATAATAACATATAATAACTATATTGATAATAAAGTTTTAAATCTCATATTTTCTACTCTATTTAACAACTTAAATAATCTGACTTGCTTCCCTGGCCAGTTTGGCTCAGCTGTTAGTATGTTGGCCCACAGACCAGAAAGACCTGGGTTCAGTTCCTGCACGTACCTCTGTCGCAGTTAGTCCCTGGCCCCGGTTGGGGTCATGTGGGTGGCAACCAGTCGATGTGTCTCTCACATCGATGTTTCTCTTTCTCTCTCTTCCTCTCTCTCTCTGTCTGAAAATAAATGCAAAAGTGTCCTCAGGTGAGGATTAAAATAATAATAATAATCTGACTTGCTAATGTTGACACCTAATGCTAGTCAGCCAAGTGTATTTGTAACTAAATAACTTATTAATGAGTGAATGCTGTTGATACAAAGTGTAGTACTGTGGGTGAATAATAACTAATTTTTTGTCCTCCTCCCGGGTGTTCAGTTAAATTTGTCGTCTAGCCCTGGCTAGTTTGGCTCAGCGGTTGGAGCATTGGCCTGCAGTCCAGAGAGACCCAGGTTCGGTTCCCGCTGGGGGCACATACCTCGGTTGCAGTTTGTCCCTGGCCCTGGTTGCAGGTGGCAGCCACTCGATGTGTCCCTTTCGCATCGATGTTTCTCTCTCTCTCTCTCTTCCTCTCCCTCCCTCCCACTCTATCTGAACAAAAAATGGAAAGGTGTCCTCGGGTGAGAATAAAAAAAAAAATTGTCGTCTATAGGAGAAGCAAAACTTAAGTCTTATTGTATTTTTTCATAGGTCCCTTTGTGTAGGAAAAAGCTGGGTCACATCCCAACATTTTGAAATGCCTAGGATCATCTAGACTTTACTTAAGTTTGTAAAGGTTTAGGACACTGTCTTTGTAAACTTTTTTAAAGCAGTGGAATCCTTATCTCCAAATGACATCTATATAAAATGGTATTTTGTTGGTATAATCATAAAGTTTACATTTATAACATAAGTAAAGTTAGAGCAATCTTTTGAAATTTTTGAAGTCAGAAGTTACAGATATTTGTTATATTCTCATACCACCATTAGACTTCTTTGTTTGTATATTTTGTTTCTGTTGTATAATAAGAAAATATTCTCTTTTTTAAATTAATTAATTTATTTTTGTTACTGATGTTTCTCCTTTTCCCCCCTCTGATTCCCCCCTCCCCCCCTCCCTACCCTGTCCCCAGCTTTGTTGTCCATGTCCATTGTTCATGCACACATGCATATAAGTTCTGCGGTTTATCTCTCCCCCACCACCCCCTCTTCTGGAAATTGTCAGTCTGTGCCCCACTTCCACATCTCTAGGACTACCCCATTCCTCAGACAGTTATGTTCATTATATTCCACAAATAGTGAGATCATATGATACTTGTCTTTCTCTGTTTGGCTTGCTTCGCTTAGGATGATACTTTCCAGGTCCCTCCATGTCGTCTCAAAGGATAAGAGATCTTTCTTTCTTATAGCTGCATAGTACTCCATCGTGTATATGTACCACAGCTTTTTTTATCCATTTGTCTACTGATAGACATTTGGGCTGTTTCCAGATTTTAGCTATTGTAAATAGTGCTACTACAAACATGGGGGTACATATATTCTTTCTGATTGGTGTTTCAGGCTTCTTAGGGTATATTCCTAGAAGTGGGATCACTGGGTCAAATGGAAGTTCAATTTTTAATTTTTTGAGGTAACACCATATTGTTTTCCATAGTGGCTGCACCAGTCTGCATTCCCACCAGCAGTGTACTAGAGTCCCTTTTTCTGCATACCCTCGCCAACACTTGTTGTTTCATGATTTGTTAGTGGCAGCCATTCTGACAGGTGTGAGGTGATACCTCATTGTTTTTTTAATTTGCATCTCTCTGATGATTAGTGATGTTGAGCATTTCTTCATATGTCTCTTAGCCATTTGTATGTCCTGTTTGGAGAGGTATCTATTTAGTTTCTCTGCCCATTTCTTAATTGAGTTCTTTGTCTTCCTTTTGCTGAGTTGTATGAGCACTCTGTATATATTGGAAAATAACCACTTATCTGATATATCATTGGCAATTATGCTCTCCCATACAGTGGGTTGCCTTTCCATTTTGATGATTGTATCTTTTGCTGTGAAAATATTCTTGACTTGCCACATAAATAGTTGTAAATGGAAATGTTTTAATCAGCTTGCTTTGCAAGTCTCAGTTAACCAGTATGGTCAACCAAACCACTCCAAACACTTGGGAAAAAAGAGCAATAGAATTGATGAATCACTAGCCAACTCTAAACATCTGCTTGAATTTTATTTTTATTTTTTATTTTTACTTTCTTCATTTAAGTATAATATACCTATATAATGTATCATTATAGTGCTCCCACGTAACCAGCAATCAGATCAAAAACACATAACCCAAACCACAAAGATCTCTTTTTTTCTAGTCGTTGCCATTCTAAGAGTCACCACTCTCTTGACTTGTTTCACCCTTTTCCATTTTAAAATATAAATATATAAAAGTAAAAAAACTACAGTATGTTACTCATTTACTTGGTATTACCCAGCTGAGTATTCTGCTATGATGAAAGCATGTGCTGAACACATGTACTTAAATAAACAGCAGTAAGACTGAGGAATGTGTCACTTACATGCTGTGATGGAAGATCCACTTGCAGTTTTTAGTAAGCGACATGAATTCTTTTAAAAGATGAGTGTGGAGTTACAGTTTTTTTAGTCAGTGATACATTATAGGAATTTAATGTATGTACAGTATGGCCAGAGAAACTTTATCCTAAGATAAACGTGAAAACAAAGCAGGAGGCAAAGTTATGACTCTGATGGTCTTCAAAATACTACAGTTACATGAATGGCACATTTGAGTGTTTAGGTTAACTTCTTTTAAGTTTTAAAGCATGTTTAAAAATGAAATTTCAACCAGATATCTGTGGAACCCATGATTTTCTCTGAAACACTATGAATTTGAAAAATACAGGATGAAAACCAGAGCTGTAGGTTATAAGAAAAACTCAAATAAAAAATGTATTGCTAAAAAAGTAAAAGTTCTTTTGAGATGATCCGAGCAGTAATATAAAGCTCTAGTTTTGTTGTTGTTGTTGTTGTTGTTTGTTTTTTTGGTATTATTTCTTAAATGTTCTTGATTCTGAAATATTTTGAAGATAGTAGAGTATGAATCTATTGTCATGTAGACTTCAATTCATATTCTCATCCTTGCCAATTATCACCTGGGTGACATTGGACAATTAATGCTTCTGTGCCTCCTGTTTACTCTTTAAAATGAGACGTTGTTGTGATGGTCAACTCAGACAACATATCGTGCCTAATATTTGTTAAGATTTAACAAGCAATAGCAACTCTGTGGTTGTTACCATTATTATAATTTATATGAACTGTCTGTTAATAGTACAAGTTATATGTAGTAAAGAACCTGAAGGCATTATATATAAATCTGATTGGCTATGGGATATTGAATTGTCCTGGTACTTCAGAAATATATTTGAAAATCTTTAAATCAGCAATTGAACTTGTTGTAAAAACTGAAAAGATCAGTGGGGGTTTTTGTTTTGTTTTGTTTTATCATGTTTCTTCCAGGATTAAGCAGGCTCAGACTAGGTACTACATTGTCAAAGATCATCTTTGTAAAATAACATTTATGAAATTCTTTGGGCTTTATTATATTAAAAAGGTTGGTATCTATAAAAGTGAGGTTTTCCTAACACCTGGCCAGATCTTGTCTTTCACTTACTTTCATTTGTCTCATGGGCAGTACGACCTGTGCTATGGTTGCATGACTGGAGCAGTCACAAGGTGACAGTACTGCTCCACTGCCTGACCCTTGCCTCTGCGAAACAGTGAAACTTCCTTAAGTGGAGAAATACAGGGAGCTTTGGACTTGTAGTAAAATATAAAATAACTACATAGAATACTCTTTTTAATGTAAAAAGCAGACTGGCCAGACCTTTTCTCTTCATAAAATGCATGAAAAAAGTTAACTTATATGACTCTGAAATATTTTAATATCACTTGGGTTAATGACTCAAGTTAGGAGAAAAGTATCTTTCCCCTGCTCTGTTTCCCGAGCAGCCCCTCATACCTCTCTGTCCTCTGTTTCTAATTTCTAGCTTATAGGTCATTTGTTTTTCTGCACGTTTGCTCTACTGTTGCTTTAAAACCAGAAACCTCTTCCTTCCAACACCTCACACCTGATAAATTAGTTATGAACATTCAGTGCTGCTATGCTACTTAACATTGGGTCATTTCTTTTATGTATACTCAGCAGATACTTAAGTAATCTATGCCTTTTTCCTTTCTTCATAAAGATTCTCTCCTTCAGTCATGCTACTCGATCTGACAGATGGTTAGGGGAAGAATTAGGCTTACTGTAACAGGCAAGATCTTTTTTCCTCAAGTCCTATTGAAAAATTTCTGCCACTTGCCACTTAACTGTTAACAGTTCTGCTCTACTGTATCCCTATTTTTGTTTCTAATTTAAGCAAGTTATTATTCATTGGGGGCATGCTCTAAATAGCAGTGGTGACCTGAAGCATTAGATAAAAAGATATCCCATTGTAAGGCATTCTTACACAATTTTTTGCGTGGCATTTGGCTGCCTCTTACATTTAGAATTAAAAATAACCCCTTAGAGTTGAATACTGTACAGTTTATATAGTGGAAGATGAGATTGTATGTACTATTGCATTTTTAAGCATTAATTAATTAATCATGGGTATCAAAAGAAAAGGAGAATGGTCATCCCATGTCTCTCCTCTTTTTCCACTTTTCTATGACACTCTTTTCTCTAATTTTTAAAATTCCACTGTTAGTAATGAATGTTACAAAATGAGTAAGAAAATACTCGTAAAAAGATTAGATCATTGTTGTCATTAGATTCCTCAAATTCTTTTTTTCAGAATGTATTTGTCAGTTGGGAGGAGGAGAAAGTTAATAGGGAAGGAGGAGGAACAATGACATCCAGTGTTCTATTTTGAATGACAAGGTGAATAGTGGTGCTCTGAGCTAAAACGGAATGCTGGTAGCAAAGCAAGTTTTGTTGGGGAATATAATAAATTCAGTTGGGGATATGTTAGATGCAATTTACTTACAGAACATTGGGAATGCCTTTATTCAGAAAAAAATAAGAAAAAAGACAGGTATGAGCAGCATGAGCATGTGTGTAATAGATGAGGCTAAGGGTTTTGATGAAGTTAGTCATGCATAAAAGAAGGAAGGAAGTTAGTTAGTTTAAAAAAGAAGACTAAAGATGGAGCCCTAAGATGAGCCACTTTACCATAAGAGATGGAGAAGCAGCCATCAGAATGGTGGGGAGAACAAGGGGAAGGGATGCAGAACAGATCTCAGGAATAGGACAGTGTCAGGTATCTCACAGAGTTGAAGAAAACTAGAGATGACTGGATTAGGCCATTAGGAAATTGTTGTTCATTATAGCAGCTTTAGCAGGATGTTGGAACACAATGAATTGCAATATTGAAGGGGTGAATTTCAGTTGAAGAAATGCAGACTACTGCTTGGTGGCACAGGGAAACTGAAACAGAATGGTAATGGTCAGGGAGAGACAAAATCCTTGAGATGACTGTGTCAGTTTGGGAAATTTAGGAATAGTTTTATCCAATGCAGAGGGTTTGAGTAAGGGTACTAGGAAGAGAGTGCAATAACTAGTGGAGTCAGGTTTTATAGTTACCAGGTCAGGACACATGTCAACTTGCTGAAGAGTTATTGAGCCTGCTATGATTTCATACTGGTAGGCCATACCTACACATTACCTAGTTTTGTATTTAACTCTTCCTTTATAATGTCATCATTGTCCTACAGCCTTATTCACCATTCTTTACAGATTAAGGGATGATATTAGTGTTTTATATTTCTCATGTATTTATGTGATAATACTGGAGATTACACTTATTTTAACAGGTGTTTCTTATGGACAAAGCAATAGTGACATGGAAGCTCTGCATCAGGCGTATTGTCATATAGCCCATTCCTTGGGAGACGCTGCTGAACAAAGAATTGAGAGTATTGCCGTGGAAAAGCCCAAGAGCTCAGAGAAAGGTCATCCTCAAGAAAATGAGGAGTCCTCCAAAAACTTCTCTACTACTGAATCTGGTAACACGCTTATTTGAGACTTTCTGAACAGTTTCCAGTTTAGTGTAATTTAGATACCATTTGCTGAGTGATTGTTTCTCAGTCTGAATGTATTTAAAGGGTTTGTTCAAATGAAATTTGGAAGTGAGTGGTTTAACTATAAAGTTAGAGCTGAATGTGGGATAAAATGTTTCCTTTCTAATATGCCTTGATCAAATTAAGAAATTATTTAAGTGTTTTCCCATTTTTAAATATTTTCCATGTACATGTACTAAAGTTATTTTTTAAATAAAGAACAGTATTTTGGAATCAACTAAATACAGATTTAGCAGATAAATGTGTATATGGATATACCCATACACATATATTTGAGATATGTAGATCTATGCATCAAATACATAGTTATATATATTTCAGATATAAATATCAGAGGAGGATGTCTTGGTGCAAGCAAGTTTACAGTGGGACATTGGGTTTCTTTATGTGTCATTATTTAACTGTGTCAATCAGATAAAATGTAATTTTGTTGGTATGAGACATAAAATTAAGGAAGTGACCTAACATTTTTGGTTGCTATTTTAACTTTTTTTCTCCTCTTAGATCTGCCCACAGTAGAGGAGCTAATGAAACCTATCAGAATAGAGTCCTTTGGGATCAGTGGTTTGAATTTACAACCTGTCAGGTATGAGTTTTTTGTTAATCCTCACCCAAGGATATTTTTTTTTCATTGATTTTTAGAGAGAGTGGAAGGGAGGGGGGAGGAGGAGAGAGAAAAACATTGATGTGAGAGAGAATCACTGATTTGTTGCCTCCTGCATGCACCCCACCCAGGGTTGGGATGGAACCTGCAACCCAGGTACGTGCCCTTAACCAGGAATCTAATCTTCAGCCTTTCGGTGCACTGGCCGATGCTCTAACCACTGAGCAATTCTGGCCAAAGCAAGTATGAGTTGATTGTGCAAGTTGTTTGTTTTATCACTGGAAACTTGTAGAATCATTTGTTCTACGTAATCATTCCTAGTGAATGATTAATATATAATTTGTATGTGTCAACCTATGAGTCACTGTGCTTTTCAAGTTGCTTTTTACTTATTCAGTTCATCAAAATTCTTCTAGTGCCAAAATTTTTAAAAATATGTTACTAAAAATGTTAATGCCATTAAGTAGTCTTGATTCTTTTTACTGAAAGATATTTCTTCAGCTTTAAATAGCTCAGGGACAGTTGATTTGAATGAAGAAATGGAACATAAATTTTATTCCGTATATGAGGCATAGATGTGCTTGTTTATAAACCAATTAGTTTTGTAATTAGTCATAGACTGGCCATCAACTCACAGGGTGAGTTTGGGCACAAGAGAAATGGACTCTGAAAATTCTCCAGCTCTGGTACATTTTAGGGGAAGCTTGTGAGACCTCACTGTCATTCTCCAACACACGAAATAGCACATCACAATAACCTCGTCATAAAACAACTTTGCATTTGTGTATCACCTAGAATGTCACATTCGTTACCTCATGGTTTTTATAAAAAGTAGGACAGGCGTCCTTAATCCCCATCATTCAAGTGATGAACCTACAGTAAACTCACTTTAGTAGTGGAGCTCTCACAAGAACCAATGATGTTGCTCATGCTGATTACAGCTAACATTTATCACATGCTTACTGTGGTCCAAGTACTACGCAAAGTTCTTTACGTACACTATTTTCTTTACTCTTACAGCAACTCCATGAAGTATATTCCATATTGTCTTCATTTCATATATAAGAAAAGGAACCTTAAAGAGGTCAAATAAATTGCCCAAAGTCATATGACCATGACCAGGGTACACAAGAAGTTCACTTGCATAACCACTTACATTGTCAGATCTTTGATATCCATAAAAAATGTGCAAAGTCTATCTTCCACACATGCATTTATGTTTTCAACAGACACATTTTGAGCTCCTTCTTGTATTATATCCTCGTCATGGAAATCCATTTGCAGTGATTTCTTGGCCTTGTTTCTGTATTTGTACTAGTTGAGCAAAAATGATACAGTGAATCCTACACTAAAGCCCATCTACTTACATGCTAGTCTAGTATTCTTCCACTGCTTGTTACTATTTTTAAAGGGCAAATTGTGCTTGCTCACCATTGCTGTTTGGGGATTTGTTAGTGTTACTGAAGAGATTTTCTATACCTTGTGTCCTTGTTGGCATTTCAGTAATGTGAATTCTAAAACAAATCACAAATGTGATTATTACATTTGTGTTTAAAAGCCAAAATCAATTGTACTTACATTAAAGGCATAACAATAATTATAGAACTGTCAGTAATATAAACTTTAGTATACATATCTAAAAATTCGTAAGTAAACTGTAGGGTAAAAAATCCTGGCCACTATAACAAATAATCCTTCAAATTTTTGTATCTTAACATCATCAGTTTATTTCTTGCTTACATCATAATCTTATGTGTATGATTGGGGCACAGTCATCTAGGGACTCAGGCTTCCTCTGATAAACACATGGTTTTATGGTTGCCGTGGCCTCATTCAACCAGTGGATAAGGAAAGTAAAAGGATGGTTTAGCATACTTCCTTTTAACTGCCTCAACAAAAAGCATTACATCGCTTTAGCTAATGTTCTCTTGGTAAGAACCAGCACATCTAACTAACAAGGTGCAAGGGGGCTGGGAAATATGGTTTGCTTGTATACTTATAAAGAAAAATAAATGAGCGTGGTAGGCATCTAGCGATTCTCAACCAGAGTATATCCTTCTGATAGCCACAGATCCACTTGTCTCCTCCCCAAAGCAAACATCTCAAAGACCCATTCAGGACTATCCATCTGAAAGGCCTGATTTCCAGGTGAAGTGTAGTCCTTTCCATCAGCGTTGAATGTGGCTCCTGATTGTCTAATAAGCAGTGATTTAAAGAGGCAAATGATATACTGCCTCGCTCCTACCATAATATATAATGGTGGAACTGCAGGAGTATTCTCATTATGAAAGGAAAATACAGTAATAATCATTAATGCAGCTTGAAATCCACTGCAGAGACCTTTCAAAGATACCCTCCAACCCCCCACATACACACCTTGCAAATGGGGATTTACCGTAATTAGGCCATCATTCTACTCTCAAGGAGGAACTACCCTATAAATATGTTGTTCCATGTAGCTTCAGATTCCACTCCTTGGAGGACTCTTGTATTTTATCAGCAGGACTCTTGTATTTTATCAGCTTGGGCACACTGAAGTGGGTTTTTGCAGGGAACATGTGCCCATCTTGGAAGATGCACTCCTTTCTCAGTTCACTTCCTGCCTGGAGGTAGTTTTGAGACTCCCAAACAGTCACTGGCTATTTTTTTTAAATAAGGTGGTGGTTTCTTTGGCATTAGAGTTCCTTCAGAAAGTTTAGTAGGCTTCTGATCTTTTTGGTTCCAATCAGTCCTATCTACCAGTAACTACACAAAGTTCTTTGCAAGACAGAGGTTTCAAATCTCTGCTTCCGTGTCCCTCTGGGGTTTTTTTCTCCTGATTTAATTGCAGCTACCTGGATTTTATTGGGAATAATAACCTTATGTGTGAAAATGACATCTTTAATGTGATCTTTGCCAAGGGACTGAGTCAGTTTTATCAACCGAGAGGTCTCATGAGATCTTGCTCTCTCATATAGCATTTTTCAATGCCAAATCTTACTGTTTGAGTCTAGACAGAGAGAGTGAACCCAAGAGGCCCTGAGTTTCTAGACTCTCTGTCTTCCCTTTGATTTCTTCTTACAAATTTGCCCATTTTGTCTTGAGCTCATCTCTTATAATATCTTGGTAAAATAGCCAACAGTAGCTGGCACTTAAAAACTCCCTGTTTTCCCTGGCCATTTCTTTTAGTATTCCGCCTAGATAGGCATGTGGTCGGCCTTGTAAGCTATTGTAGGTGACAGTTAGCAAATGTTTTGCCACTGTAAAACAGGGGTTGCCACCTCTTCAGCCTCTAGTATAAGTTTCCTTGCCACCCAAAACCCACCCACTGAGCTAATGACATATATTTTAGGTCTTGTCACCATAGCACTTACATTCTAAAGGCAAGAACTAGTAAATCACCCCGTCTAGATGCAAGGTGGAAAGGAAATGAAGTTTAGTTCGTACACAGCAAAAGCAGGAACAGTTTTGATGAACATCTAGCCAGGTTCTGCTACCATGAAGAATGAAGAAACTATTGTATTTTCAGATGATTCCGTCTACTTTAGAAGAAGCCTCTAACAGATACTGAGAAGTTAATCTACCTTGTATGGAAATGGTAGCCTCTCAAACTTTTCTTCAATCTTATTTTATACATTACACAATTAAAAGACCTAATTGAGCATGATTAAGTAGTTTGAAAGCAACAATATCCAAATTGGAGCCCCCATAATAGGCTGATCTTGAACCATATTTAGAACATTTCAAGGGACATTTTTCATATTTTTAAAATCAAATGGTCTGAAATGTTAGATTGCATTTAACTCTCTAAATCATAGAAATGATTTTATTTCAAAATTCTCGTGATTTTTTGTTTTAACATTTTTTCTATATTGTGATGAAATATATGCATTTTAATATTTATATTCTATGCCTCACTGGCATAAATTATGATTACTTCTTTAGTTCTTCTAGACACATATAAAATGCTTTTTCTGCCACAAATGCATGTTGACCTTATAAGGTATTATGGATAAAATATATATTATAAAAAGTTCACATAGAAATTCATATTTTATTTTTTTTTATACAAAAGCAATGTTAGTCCTGTTTGGTTTGGCTTGCCTTTGAAGTAGATCTCTGAGTCATTCATGTAATCCCTTATACTGCATTAAAATTATTATTTGAAATTTAAAATAACTATATGATGTTTATGAGTATACTTTATTTACCAGAATTGTAAATAATGTATTTAACATTAATGACCTAATCTGAATACACATATTAAATATATGTGTGTATGTTGATAAAACTGACGTTTGAGGAATCACACAGTTTACTGTGTCCTGTTTTGTTTTACAGCTGCGAGACACTGGCTGAGAGGAAAGAAACTGAAGTAGTAAGCCCTCTACCCTTTCAGATGAAGCCAAATGTTGAGTCTCAAGAGCCACAAAATGTGAACCAATATTTTGACAAAAATGAAGAGAATGTGGTTTTACCAAAGACAACAGGTGAAAGTATAGAGAATAGCTATCCAAGAGTAAACACTACAGAGGGATATATAGATAAAAGATACCTTGATCTTTTGAGGAGAAAACTATCTGTTGGTACTTCAGTATTACCTCAGGATGACAAAATAAAGAAAGTAAGTATTCATAATTTAAGTTAATTTCACATATTGGTAAATGAAGTTACATAAAGTTATCTAAGTATTCTTGATACATAAGTACTTCTTAAGATTGTGGATTGATAACTTACTACCCTCCTCACCGATCTTGGATATTTGAGAGCAGTATTTATTACAGCACTCTGCAGTCCCCAAGTTCAAAAATACCTCTGTGGCATTAGCTTTCTTTTAGAAGCCATTATTTACATTTTTAATTTTTTTTTGAGTAAGCATAAGAAAATAAAGTTTATTCATCATTCTAGTGCTTTTCACTCTTTCTAGTAGTCTGTGTTCTGTAAAAGTAGGTTAAGTTGGCATTTCAGATCAATGCTATTAGAAACTTGTATTCTACTGTTTCCTTTTCCTCTGCTCTTGATCTTTTCTGACATTTTGTTTCATAAACCCAGTATTTTTTTTATTTTACAATTTTGAGTTACGTGTTTATCATTATAAACCATCTTCAATTCTTTGTGGAATGAGGCAGGGTATTAATTTATTTTTATTTTTAGAAATATAGAGGAAAAAATAAATAAGATTTTATGTCATTTCAAAATATGTCGTTCTCATCCTCCCTCATGTTCATTCTTATAGTTACACATACTGCTTTCTGGCAGGCTTACTTTGGTATATTATTTTGCTTCATTTTACTCCTGACTTTGAAGATGTGCTGTAAAATACTAAAATTCTGATAAATTAGAGTTAGGGAACTTTAATGTAGTAGTTTGCCTTCAGCAAACTATGTTATATAGTAATCACTATGATTTTGCCATCTGTTAAATCTACATTTACAACTGTAGTTGAAGTTCATTTAAGTACTAAAGAGTTTGTACTTGTGTACAGACTTTTAGATCTCAACTCAGTTCTGGAGAAGGGACTCTAATTGGTAAAGAGGTGCCATACAAGAAAGCCAGAAGTGCACCTCCTTTACATAAAAGAAAATCCCAGAGTGGAGTATATGCATCAGTTAGGAGCTCGGGCTATGGAAAACCCAGTTCACCATTCAAGACATTTTCTGCTCTTGAAAAGAAGACTTCAAAGGACATGATGAAAAGCAAAAACTTGAGGTCCATTCCTGCCTCAAATCAAGCTAGGAAAAAAGGTAATCATCATATACTCTTTTCATAGTTGAGTTCTATGTATCTACAGTTGACCCTTGAACATGAGTTTGAACTTTGCAGGTCCACTTATATGTGTTTGTTTGTTTTTTTCCAGTAAATACCGTACATGTATTTTCCTTATGGTTTTCTTAATAACATTTTCTTCTCTGTAGCTTACTTTATTATAAGAATACAGTATATAATACATACAACAACAAAATATGTTAATTGTTCATGTTATCAGTAAGTCTTCTGGTCAACAGTAGGCTATTAGTACTTACATTTCGGGGGAGTCAAGTTATATGTGGATTTTCAACTGCATGAAGGGTCAGCACCCCTCACTCCTATATTGTTCAAGGGTCACCTGTAGTGTATTATTTTACTTTCCTTCTCTACTTTTCCTGTTTCCTTCTCCCCTTCCATGAACTTTTTTTATGCATAGAAAAGAATTAACTTTAAGATACATATTCCATTTCTGAAAGATTCAATTTATAGGAGGTTTTTCATCATTACTTCTGGGTTTTCCTGAATGAGACCCAGAAAATATGGGAAGTGAATATAAGATAGGAAAGTCAAACCTCCTCATCTGGATGGCTCTGTAATAGTGTTTACCAGACCAGAGCTATAAATTCAGGATGCAAATGGAAAACTACAAATAAAGGTTGATAGATTATCTAGACATTAGTTCAGAATAGACTTGGAGAGGTAGAATGTTTATCACATATTGCATATTTTTATACATCACAGTGCCTCTGTTATTTCCTAATGTAGTCATTTATACCGACAATTGGAAAGGGTAATTAAAAAAAATTACCTGCAGCTATTAAAAGAAATAGAAATGTTCAGGTCAGACTAACATTTCTGCTGCCTTTGTACTCCAGTGGGAAAGGGAGAGCAATAATAGAGCCAGAAGCATTTTGTCCTTTTCTTTGTGGTTAAATTGAATAGGTGACCAATTTCATCATTGTTATCTGGTGATAGAGAACTATCAGAAGACAACTATCCTCACTGAAAAATACATTTCTAGCTTAAAGTATCTTCCCTTGCCTTTCCCTACAACTATCCATTTCAGGACCACTGTGATTATACAGGCATACCTCATTTTATTGCACTTTGCTTTGTTGAGCTTCACAAAGGTTATGGCTTTTACAAATGAAGGGCAAGACCCTCCATCAGCAAAAAGATTATGACTCACTTGATTGTAATACTCGCTTTATTACGGTGGTCTGGAGTCCAACCCACAATAGCTCTGAGGAATGCCCATATTTAAAATCCTTTAGGCATTAAAGACTCTCTTCTTCTGTCTTTGTGAATGTGTTTTCACTGCAGCCACCTGTGCATATAAGATGGAAAGGCGAGGGCCAGGGCTGATCTGTATCAGAGAGAACAGCAGTAGGGGCTGGTTATTCTGGAGAGACAGGACTATGAGTCTGTTGGATTAACATAAGCATCCTCCTGTTCCTAACCTAGGAACTTCTGATCCCTCCCCTAAGAAGTCTTTTGTGTTACTGTTTTGTGAAACATTTACCTGTGATGTTGTTATCTAACTCAGTTATTAGTAATTAACCATTCATTGGATCTAATATTAAGAAAAGACTCGTGGAATGTTTATTAAATTTTAGAATCATCAAGAAGAGTATGAAAAGTTTTTATTAATGCTTTAAGAATATTCATTTTGTACTTTAGGGAGCAAGAAAATGAAATTTTGTTTTTAATATTATTTACTCTATTAACCCCTAACACTCTTGATGTTTACTTTATCCAAATTTATTAATTTAACAAATATTTTTCAGCACCTACCTTACTCCAGGCACTGGTAGATACACCAGTAAACAAAATAGGGAAGACAAGCTCCCTTCCCCCATTCTGTGGAATTTCTCATCAGATGAGGATAGACATTTAACAGTAAGCATAATTATTAAGTTAGTGATGTTATATGCTGTGGAAAAGAAAAAGTAGAGCAAGAGTGTCAGTGGTGGAGTGCGGCAGGTCCCACTTTTAAACAGGATAGAGTAGGCCTTGAAAAAGAGCTGCTTAAACACAGACTTGTAGGAGGTGAGGGGATTGGCCATGTGGATATTTGGGGGTAGCATATTTCAGAAAAATGAAACAGCCCATGAAAAGGTCCTCAAATAGGGAAGAATGCCTGGCATGTTCAAGGAACAGCATAGAAGCCCCATATGGTTGGGTCAGAGAGAGCAAAAAGGGTGAGCAGTAGGAGATGAGATCAGAGAGTCAAAGAGGCTGGCATATTTAGGTTTTCCTATGGTGTTTCAAGACAGCTCTGAGTGCAAAGGTGAGCCACTGAAAAGTTCTGAGCAAGGGAGTGACCTTCCTGACATCCTTTAAACCAGCGGTTCTCAACCTGTGGGTTGCAACCCCTTTGAGGGTCGAACGACCCTTTCACAGGTCTCCTAAGACCATCGGAAAACACATATTTCCGATGGTCTTAGGAACAGAGACACCGCTCCTCTGTCCATCTCCAGGTGGGTCCGCCCACATGCAGGTACGCCCACATACAGCATGAGGAACTGTATTAAAGGGTCGCCGCATTGGGAAGGTTGAAAACCACTGCAGTTTAAACAGACTTCTCTGGCTGCTGTGTTATAGACCATCTGCATTTATACACATACCATAAGGAGCACAGGAAGAGGCACAGAGACCAGTAGGAAGGTTTTAGGAATCCAGGCTAGAAGTAATGGGGCTTGAACCAGAGTGGTGACAGTGGAAGTGAAGAGAAGTGGTTGGATAAGAGTACATTTAGAGGATAGAACCAAAATTCTAAAGGATTGGTTTGGGGTTAAGAAAGAGGAGTCATGGATGATGCCAATGTTCTTGGCTTAGGAAACAAAGAATAGAGTTCCTGTCCAGCTAGATGAGGGAAGCAGCACTACAGTAGATGTTGGGGGGGAGAGAGGATCAGGAACCTAACTGTTGATCATTTTGAGAAATTTGTTCTACATGCAAGTGGAGATGACAGGGAGGCAGTTAGATATAAAAGTCTAGAGTTCAAGAGGGAGGTGTGGACTGAAGATATCATTTGGGAGATGTTAAATTGTTTTTTTAAGCAGTGAGACTGATGAAGATTATCAAGTGAGTGAGCATAGCTAGAAAAAAGCCAACAAGGCCCGAGCTCTGGGCATGCTAACAATAAGAGGTCAGGGAGAAGAGGAGCAGCTACAAAGAAGACAGTAAGGTTGGAAGAAACCTTAGTATGTGGGATCTAAGTGAAGAAAATGTAGAAAAGAGAATTGATCTGCTCTATCAATTGCTGGTGGGAGATAAAGATGAGGAGGGAGGAGGTCATTAGTAAATTGGGCCAGCAGTGCGTGACTGTAAAGGCAAATTGAGTGGGAACAGAAGTAGAATTGGGTACTTCCAGCTATAGACCACCCTGGGAAAAGGATGTAATAGGCAGGGGGAAATGGGCAGTAGCTGTCATGGAAATGGAGTCAAGAGAAGCTTTTAGCTTTGTTTTTCTTTGTTTTTAATGGGAGAAATGATCGTATAAATTGTAGTGTGTTTGTGCTTCTTGGAAAGATTCAGTAGACAGGAAAAAACTCCTGATGGAGAGGGAGAGAAGAATTACTAGAGCGATATCCTTGAGCAGAGGAGCTGCAGTGGGATCTAGAGTGCACATGGAAGGGCTGGCTTTAGATGGGAACATGAGCCCTTCATCTGGAAGCAGATAGGAAGGGGGAGGCTGAAGGAGGAGTAGAAGTGGTGTGAGAATGTGGATGATTTATTCTGATTGCTTCTGTTTTCTCTGATAAATAAAATGCAATGTTAGCTGGCATTGAGGATGGGCCAGGGGTGTTGGAGGAAAGAAGATGTGAATGAGTTATCCTAGAGGATTAGACCACCAGCAGCAGAAAGAGTCTCCCTGAACTTAGTGATGATGAATTTAAATGGAGACAAGGCAGGGTGTGTGTGTGTGTGTATTTGTGTGTCTATGGCCATGTTTCGATGCATGATTGCAGGTGTTCAGTAGTTGTGTAGCTGAATTTACTAAGGGGAGTTTTTTGCCAAATGAGTACAATGAACTGAGCAAGGACCAAGAAGGTAATGAAGGAATAAAGGACATCAAGGGGTGTGATACAGTCTAAAACAGGTAGAATCAACAAACTCTGGGTCCCAGCAGGGTGGAAGGTAAGAGATGGATTGATAGTAAATGCTTAAGACTAAAATTTGGGAGTGATTAAAACAAAAGACCTAGGGTATCCCTAATGGGAGTGAGTAGCTGAGGTGGAGAGAGGTAAGGAACCAAAAGCCAGGGGTTTGAAAGGATTATTAGTATATTAAAGTTGCTGAGTAAAGACAGAAGTAGTGTCACATAGTAGATGGAAAGAAATGAGGGGAGGTGATGTAGAGGTTGGTTGATGAAGGCAACACTATTTTTAATGGGTAATTTTTATTTTTTCAAAATGTTACAATATTTATGAATACCAAAATAAAAATAAAACACCACTAAAATGTATATGAAAGTACAGTAATAACCTATAGCTGTCTACTTTTATACTGAGCTACTTTTTTTCATTAGACTAGCTATTAGGTATGATTTTTTTATCCATATTTTTATTGATAAAATTGCCCAAATCAATTTTAGTTTTATCCAGAACTGTAATTCCTTTAGGGTGGTTATTTGTCACAGGTTGTGGTTCTCCAAGAAGAAGGCTCTGAGATGGAGATTCGTGTACAGAAAGTCTAGAGAATGCACTTGGTATCAACACTGATTAAGATGAAGAGTAAGCCCAGCGACTGGGGCTTACCCAAGCAAAAGGCTTCTCCTCTCCATGTAACACAGGGCCAGGGATACACAGTTTAGAGCTGGTGCAACGGTGCAAGGAACCAGATCCCTTCTTTGCTGTTGCGAAATCCTTAGTCTGTGTCTTTTGTCTTCATTGTCATAAGATAGTTCTTCAACCTCCTGCCCCTGTCATGAGGATAGGTGAAAGGTGCATGCCAGTTAAATTGTCAACCTCTTAATCAGAAAATGAGTCACTTTCCTGGAAGCCCCATGTAGGAAAAGTTTGCTTTCATCTTATTGGCCAGAACTTGATTGTGTGGCCACCCCCAGTTGCATGGAGTCCAGGGAGATGACTGCTCAGGACAAAATTAGGTTTCCGATAACTCTTGTATTTTTGAGACTAGTCATTTTATTGTCATGAAAAGAATAGTGTTTCATTATTTAAATAAAAAATACAGAAAAGTAAAAAGAAGAAAGCAATAATTTAGCCAGAAACAGCTGGTCCATGCTTCTCACTATGTGTGTACTTCAAGATGGAAGTATGAGTAGATAGGGAAAGAGGCAGACTTATGGATAAATGGACAAAACATTTTATAAAAATAAGATCACATTTTACAAGTTTTGTGTATTTTTTAATTTTTTAATTTTATAAACATTAATTTGTTGTTCCCCTTATTTATGCATTCATTGGTTGTTTCTTGTATGTGCTCTGACCAGGGATTGATAACTGCATTTTAAAATTTTATACATTATGCCCTGGCTGGTTTGGCTCAGCGGTTAGAGCGTCGGCCTGCGGTCCTGAGAGACCCGGGTTTGGTTCCCGCTAAAGGCGCGTACCTCGGTTGCAGTTTGTCCCCGGCCCTGGACGGTTGTGCGGGTGGCAACCACTCGATGTGTTCCTTTCACGTCGATGTTTCTCTCTCTCTCTCTGTTCCTCTCTCCCCCTCCCACTCTACCTGAACAAAAAAAGGAAAAATGTCCTCAGGTGAGGATAAAAAAAAAAAAAAAAAAAATGTTATACATTATTAGTTTTCTGTTCTATCAAATATAAGTAAAACTCTTACAATCCCCTACTTGCATGCCTCCTTCCCATCTTTGTTGGTTTAATTTTTACTTGTTGAAGATATATTTATTACCTTCTCTCCTACATCTATAATTTCCCTCAGCTTTTGAATTTAGATCTTGGTTTTGATTATTGAGGAGATTGAATGCTTTTTACTAGTCATAGCTTCTCCATTCTGGAATTATTTTGATTTGTTTCTTATTCGACTGAATTTTCATAATCCGTTGTTTCTTCAAGAAGGCCTCATGGGTTCCAAATTATGTAATTTTTTCATTTTTGAATTTTATATCTAAGTAAATTCTTTCATGTATAAAGGGAGAAAATACTATCCATGTATCATTATTGAAAAGAATTACTTAGCAACATCAAAATTAAGAACTTAGGAAGGGAAAATTCTGGTGTGAAAGCAGTGACTGACTGCAGCTTGAACAAGATCCACCTGCCACTCTTGGCCGCCCTGTCCCATGTTTACTGAGTGTTCGCTCAGAACCTGTAGTGTTTGAATATGGACCTCAAGATCTCTTGTAGGAATTTCCCTAATTATTTTTATTACCTGGTTTTATTGGCCTTAGAATTATTTCTACTGTTTGGGGTTTACAACGTACCTTAAAAGCTGAAAATGTGACCAGAATATACAGTAATCACATTTTTTAATTAACTATATATTATCAGGGTATTAGAACAGTATTATAATTGTATCTTTTAAAATCAGCTTTGACTAGCTGTTATAAAGTTTCAATGCAATTTATATTATTCCATTGTTACTACAATATCTTGATACACACTATTTATAAAAAGTATGCTTTGAAAGCACACTTAATTTTTTTTTTTTTATAGTATGTCTTACTGATTTTTTTAGAGAGAGAAAGAGAAGCTGCCTTCTGCATGCCCCCCACTGAGGATGGAGCCCACAACCCAGACATGTGCCCTGACCAGGAATCGAACCGGGACCTCTCAGTTCATGGGATGATGCTCAATCCACTGAGCCACACTGTCTGGGGGAAAGCACACTTAATTTTAACTGTAGTGCTTCATAAAGTTATCAGCTGCTCTTTGATTCATTGTTTAAATATTCTTGTTATTACTATGAGCTTTTAAAATAATTATTTAAAAGTAGCAAAGCCTAAAATTATCCCAGTCCACATTCTCACATTTATTTGGCTCCATTTGTCATTTGACATGAATCTGAGATCCAGTAGCCTTCTGTGTCAAAATGAGTAGAATGTTGATTATGGGCAGCAGTTCTGAGTTCAGTGTTATACATCAGCCTCTTTAAGATCCTCCTTTATCTTATTGTTACATAATTGCTGAATACTCATTCAACATTGTTTGCATTTGTGGTGTTTTTATCTACTGCCAACAATATTTAGAAATCTTATCTGAAACAAAACTCATCAAGCCTGCAGCATTGGGTAAACCAGCTCCCAGAACTGAAAGGTGCCTGGCTCCTCCTAAGAAGTCTGAAGGCCCTGCAGAAACCGGTTCCTGTGTTCAGCTGCAGAATGTAGGTATTACATTTCAAAGCAATATTCATAATGCTTTTATGCTCAAAAATCATCAAAACCAAACTATAAATAATGAAATATTTGACATTTATTTTGCTTCAAGTGTTCACTCTTACTGAACTCGTATTGATTTTCTTATTTAGTAGAACATTGTTAACCTTGTCACTATTCTTTGTGGTTTTTCTTTTATTATTTTTTTTTCAAATCACTTGTCTTTGAATCTTATATGTAAATCTGTAATGAAGTTATGCTTTTCCTTAAAAGGATTCTTCAGGATACTGTGATGGGAACATGGACACAGAGTTAATTATGTTTAAAAGAGTTCAGGAAGCAGAGGAAAAATGGAGGGGTGCACAGGCCTTAATTGAGCAAATTAAAGTCACATTCTCAGAAAAAGAGAGAGAGCTGGAAAATAAGATGGAGGAACTAAAGAGACAACAGGAAAAGGAACTCTTCAAATTGAGTCAGGACAATTATATTCTTCAAGCCAAGGTACTAGACACATTGTCCTATTTTTCTTTTATATTAATTCAAAAAGAACTTGTACTCCATGCTAAACACATTGTCATCTTTTGTTCTTGGGCTGTCTGACTTGTGCATCTGCTGTATAAAATGTGAGCGTGGTTTCTGAAGGAGTGTCACCTTCACACGAGTCCAATTCCAACCCCATGGGGGGAAAATAACAAATTATATTAGCTCCTTTTGGTGCTTTTCTTCTGTTAGCAGTTCTTTTTTAAAATAAATCCCTTAGTTCACTGTGACCTTCAAAGAAGATAGTTCAGAAAGAACTGCTAAGGAAGGTCAAGATTAAGAGAATGACACTGTAGCATTTCTGAGTTACTTCCATTTCAGAACCATCAGCACAAAACAACACTGTAATGATTTAACTGTAGTTGGTGTTTTGTTAATTCCAGCATGGTTCTTACTTCAGCATTTCTGTTCCTAAATAAAACAATTTCTGCATTTTCTCAAGTTAAATAGCTTTGGAGAAACAAACAAAAAACAAAAGTTGTTACATTTTGGAGAAACCGCTGATCCTGTCACTGAAGAAAAACTGAAGCAAATCCAAAAAGAAATACAAGAACAAGAGACACTTCTTCAAGGATACCAACAGGTATGGTGATTCTTCAGCACATAGTGAGGTTGTTCTTGAGATCCTTTGATTATAAGGCATAGTAAAATATGTATGTGCTCATTTAACAAGTAATGAGAATTCTGGCAAATATGAGGAAGTGATAATTTAACTAGTCTGCCCAATTCTGGTGGACTGAATTAGAGTGGTTAAGAGCATGGGTTCTGGATTCAAAGAATCTGGTTTTAGACTTAGCTCTACCACCTGCCGTGCAGCCTTGGGCAAATGACTTCATCTTAGCCAATTTTCTCATCTATGACATGGGGATGATAATAATAGTACCTGTCTCATAAGGGGGCTTTGAAATTAAAATAAGACATTGCAAACTAACCTCTTAGTGCCTGACACAGTAACCAATCAATGTATGTTGCCTGTTATTTTTTTAATCACCATGTTCCTTAAAAACTTGCCTATTTTATGCCCTGCTTGGTTTGGCTCAGCGGTTAGAGTGTCGGCCTGCGGACCAGAAAGACCTGGGTTCGGTTCCCGCTATGGGCATGTACCTCGGTTGCAGTTTGTCCTCCAGCCTCTGGTTGGGGTTGTGTGGGTGGCAACCAGTAGATGTGCCTTTCTCACACCGATGTTTCTCTCTCTCTCTTCCCCCACCTCTCCCTCCTGCTCTATGCAAAAGTGTCCTCGGGTGAGGATTAAAAAAAAAAAAAAAAAACTTGCCTATTTTTCCATAATGCTTTTCAGTAGATAATATTGAATAGTTTTGTTATTATATTGAAAAATATGAATCTGAAATCAATGGAGAGTGAAACGTTTCTTAATAAAATGGAAGGAAATTTGTGTGCCCTACGGAAGGCAAATATTTGTGATATGTGATGGAATCTTGGTGATGTTGACCTGATAGTCAACCAGGACAGGTTTACTGATCTCCAGCATGAGATTTCATCTTAGTTTCTTCCCTCCTAATCCCTCACCTCTTTTTTTTTTTTTAACTTTCCTTCCCTTCTCCTTCTGTCTTACTACCTTTTTCTCTTTTGACAACTGTAGTCTAAACATTGAGCCTACCAATAACAAGCATTGTTATCCAGGGACATCCCAAAGAAAGGAAGCATGACCACATCAGAGATTACAACATTCACTATAAATGAAATAGCACTGATTTTGCAGGACATACTGCTCTTGAGTTAGACCCTTCTGAAACTTACTGTCCAGAGCATGGGTTTTCAGGAGGATTTCATAGACTTGTAAGTTTGCCAACCACCCCTCCCACAAATATAACACAGAATTTATGTATCTAATAATGTATTTATGTATTTTTCTGAATTTCATTAATTCTGAAGATATTTAAACACAGTCAGACTGCCAGGCACTGGGCCAGACTTGGTGAGATAGATCCTAGTTTCCATTAGATCCTCAAAGGTCCTTAGTGTTCATCAGATGCCTAATTTTACAGAGGTTAATAAGCCAGAGCACCTAAGCATGGATTGGTACTTTCTCCCTCTGATTTCCCTTTTAGCTCAAGCCTAGTGGTGAACTGGGTCTACTCTCTGCCTTGTCCTGATCTTTCAGAAACACCCAAGTCTGTAATTCCCTGATCACAGAAAGTTCAGAAACAAGCATGGACACTCATTGTTGCTACATCAAATTAACCTCACCAAGGACAAAAACAGAAAAGAGAGGATGCAAACAGCCCCTGGAGCGCAAGTTGGATGCATTTATTCCTGCAGTCACTCACCCGTTTACTCTGAAATGCTGACATGAGGTGTTTTGGGAATTTTTGCAACTTTTTTTTTCTTACCTGAGGACATTTTTTTGCATTTATTTTCAGATAGATAGAGAGGGGGGAAGAGAGAGAAACGTCAATAGGAGAGAGACACATCAACTGGTCGCTACCCACACGACCCCAACGGGGGCCAGGGACAAACTGAAACCGAGGTACGTGCCCCTAGCGGGAACCAAACCTGGGACACTCTGGTCCACGGGCCGACACTCTAACCACTGAGCCAAACCAGCCAGGGCAAATTTTTCAACTTTTTTTTCTTTAATCATTTTAGAAAGAACTGTTTTCGAATAAATTTTCTTCTGTGATAATATAAAGAATTTTCAAAAGATTTTGCTTACTCAAAAGCGGAAGAAATTTTTAAAAAACTTAAAAATGCTTAAAGGCTGTATCTGTTACAAGTATATATACTTATGTAAATACTACTTTTGACTAAAGTGTAATTTTCTATTTATAAAAAGGAAAACGAAAGATTGTATAATCAAGTGAAAGATCTCCAAGAACAAAACAAGAAAAATGAGGAGCGAATGTTCAAGGAAAACCAGAGTTTATTCAGTGAGTTAGCTTCCTTAAAGTAAGTCCTTTTTAATTTCTTAAAATCAGATATACTTAGACTGTTTTTAAACATGTTATTGTTAGATTAATACATTTAGTTATACTTAGAAATGAAAAATGTGTACACTGATTTAGTTTTGTAACTTTTGTATTTTTATATTTTAGAAAGAGAGGAAGGGCCCTGGCCAGTTTGGCTCAGCGGTTAGAGCGTCGGCCTGCGGTCCTGAGAGACCCGGGTTCGGTTCCCGCTAAGGGCACGTACCTCCGTTGCAGTTTGTCCCCGGCCCTGGTTGGTTGTGCGGGTGGCAGCCACTCGGTGTGTCCCTTTCACATCGATGTTTCTCTCTCTCTGTTCCTCTCTCTCCCTCCCACTCTACCTGAACAAAGAATGGAAAAATGTCCTCGGGTGAGGATAAAAAAATAAAAAATTAAAAAAAATAAAAAAAAGAAAGAGAGGAAGGGAGAGAGAGATAGAAACATGGATGGGATGCCTTATGCACACCCCCTACTGGGGATCGAGCCTGCAACCCAGGCATGTGCCCTGACCAGGAATTGAACCTGGACCTCTCAGTCCATGGGACGATGCTCAATCCAATGAGTCACACCAACTGGGCTGTATTTTTATTATTTAATAGGTTTTTTTGTTGTTAGATGAGTAATACATACTATATTTATATTTGAGTTTGAGATTAATTTCAGAAAACTGAACATATAATATTCCTCTTGATCGATAATTAAGCCTAAGATGCTTATGTAATTATATTAGTAATAATGCCTTTCATAATAATGGTAAAAAAAAAAAAATCATATGGTGTCACTTACTGTCTTAAGTCAGGTTTCATACAAGTAAAATCTAAGATGGGGATCTTTGTGGAGGTGATTTTCTAGAGGATAACTCAGGAGAAAAGGAGCAAGAGAAGCAAGATGAGGGGTTGGTAGGGGGAGGGAAGAATGTGCTCTCAGCTGAGACTGGCTTCATTCTGCTCTCACCAGGGATCTCGGGAGAAGAGATTGCATCCTGTAGTTGGTCCCCACTTGAGGCAAGAGAGGGCAGCCTTTTGTACCCTCAAGCTAGTCTGTCATTGGCTGAAATGTGTCCCTGGAAGCAGTTGAGGGATGTCGTCTGGGCCAAGGGGAGGAGTTGCTGTTTGCCTGAGGCATTTCTCCAGAGGAGAACCTTGAGTTACCAACCAGCACTCACTATGGTGAGCTGATGGAGTAAAAGCACCTACTTAGGAATCATATTTCAGGTCTTTGGGATATTACTACATCCAGCTTTAACATATTAAGTGAAAAAGCTGAACCCATAAACATGGGCATGCTGGGATACTTTCTACTTTTAGGAAATGACTACCCGTTTTACCTCATTTCACATAAACACCTAATTACTCAGGGCTTTATCATACGAAGCTTCTTTGGCTGTGAATGTCATAAGTGCTATATTTATTCATAATTCTTTCTCCTTTTTTTTTGCTCTTGTTAGATAATCTAGGGTATAAGAGGCAGGGCTGCTGTTACTCATACTGATCTTTCATGCAAAATAGAAAAAGGTACACCTTGTAGCAGACAAAGCTAGAAGGTACACAGGTTGGCAAGCAAGGGTACTTTTTTGTAAATTGGGGGGGGGGGGAATGCTCCTTTTTCCTGGTAAGTGTGACCCCAGCCCAAGGGTAATAATCTGCACAGTCCTGACACATGAATGCATTTATATCTGCTTTCTTCCCAAATGTTTCAATAAAGTATTTTAAAATACTGTTATCTTATACTGACTGACTTTTTAAAGAGAGCTATTCCAGGACCTAAAACTGAAACTCTAAATGAACTTTCATGATAAAATAAATGGTTTCTTTAGTATATTAGGATTAGATAAGTATATATGGATTCTTAAGCTCTTTATATAATATCTCTGGTTATATTAGTTTCCATGTGATGATTGGCAATTTCTTTTTCTCAGAAAGGAGTTTAGGGATGTGACAAGGAGTATACAACACCACAGCAAATGCAGAGCCCATCTTTCTGGAACATTGATTTTTCTTCTCTGAGAACTGAAAGGAAATATTTATATAGTTCTGTTATTTAATTACATATTAACTAAACCAGTACTCTTAGGGTTTCAGTTCCTTTAGAGTTAACATAACCATTTTCCTTAAAGTATATTTCCCTTTAAGAAGCTTTTTATTTTTTTGCCCTGGCCGGTTTGGCTCAGTGGTTAGAGCGTCGGCCTGCGGTCCTGAGAGACCCGGGTTCGGTTCCCGCTAAGGGCACGTATCTCGGTTGCAGTTTGTCCCCGGCCCTGGTTGGTTGTGTGGGTGGCAGCCACTCGATGTGTTCCTTTCACATCGATGTTTCTCTCTCTCTCTCTGTTCCTCTCTCTCCCTCCCACTCTACCTGAACAAAAAATGGAAAAATGTCCTCGGGTGAGGATTAAAAAAAAAAGAAGCATTTTATTTTTTAGATTAAACAAACTTTTATCTTCAGTGACTCTCACAGTTGCATCATCCATTACAGCTTTTAATTTTTAAAAACAATATTTTGCATAGAAAATACTGCCTTATAAAAAAAATATTTTTATTTTCAAAATCAGAGAACAGATGCAAAAAAACCGTTTTCTATCTCAAGTAGTTGAAGATTCAGAGCCCACCAGAAACCAGAATTTTACAGATCTGTTAATAGAACTCCGAGCAGCACAGGTAAGTTGCACAAGAATTTTAACTATTAACAATAAAGATTATTATAAAAAAAAGTTGTATATGTGTAAAACATCTGCTTTTATAATTTATGAATAAATAAGATCCTTTTATAAATTTCATACCATTTAAAAATATCAACGATTAGCATTTTCTATGTGACCTTAATGTAGAGGAGACAATGTAATGCTGGTTTGAGATGGCATCCTCTTTATAACACAACTTCTCTTCAGGCATTGATTATATGGAGCCGCATCAGAGGCATAACCTTATTTAGGGTGCACATATATTATTTCAAACACATTCCTCATAGAGAATGTGCAGCTAAAATAGGAAAATAATTTGAAGATGATTGTTCACCTTAAACTTGGAATTGGCTTTTTACCTGTCTTCCTAAGTGGACTGTGCATTTCTGGGGGATGCAGAGACTGTATCTAACACAATGTAAAATGCTATAGCTACTCCATAAGTTTTCTTTATTATTAACTATATTATAAAGACTATGGCCTATGTCTGACCAGTGTGGCACAGTGGTTGAGCATCGACCCATGCACCAAAAGGTCACCAGTTAACCATGGTCACCAGGTTGTGGGCCCAATCCCCAGTGGGGGACATCCAGGAGGTAGCCAGTCGATGTTCTCTCTCTCTCTAAAAATCAATAAAGGAAAAAAGATTTATTTAAAGAATATGGCCTAGAATTTTCTAGACCAATATTTATCAATGGGAGACATTTGGGACAGGTTAATTCTATTTTAAGCAAAATAATGTCATGTTTTGCATAATTGTTGTAATCCCTGTCCCCAGTGCACCCACCAGCCATTGTAACCATCTGAACCACTGCCACATTTCCAAACATCCCTTGTGAGAAGGCAGTTAATTCTCCCCACTCCCTTCCCTTAAGAACCATGGCACTAAACTAAAAAGCCCCTCCCCTCTATTTGAATGATTATGTAAACTAGAAAAATTTCAATGTCATAACCACTTTTTAATTAGAAATTTATTATATAAACTAAAGTGAGGTTAAGGTTACATAGAAATTTAAACGTGCCATAATAGTTTAATAAATGATGTTTAACAGGTTTTTGTACTATATAAAATGCAGCTTTAAATATGAATCCATTAGAGTACTTTCTTCAGATGCATGTATGTTCAGAATAACCATTAGATACTAGGTATATATGTAGGAAGAAAGAATCAATGATTGGACAGCAACCCCCACTCTCCTTTACTAGTGGGCCTCAACATTAGCAAAAGAGAATTAATATTGCAGTATTTTACAGAGGTGTGGAAAAACACAGTAAGGCTTCAAGCATAGCATTAGCTTCATTTGAAGGCTATTAGTGATCTTTCAAAGATGCTGTTTTGAACACTGACAAATAGGAAATAAACTGTCACTAAAAGTACTGGAAAAGTGCTGGATAAAATATAATAAACATCTTGTAAATGCATAACCAAGCTCTCAAGAAAGTAAGGAAAATCTCTAGGGGTCAGAAATGAACAGGGATAAAAACCTAGCAGTAAGCATCTGCTCCTGTGCCACCAGCTCAGTAACCACGGGGCTTGAGCTTTAACAGCAAAGTGGAGACAAGATACCAGGGCTTCACAGAGCCACATTCTTCAGTGGAACAGTGCACTAGGAGAAAATCCACCCACCTTCAAAAGGGGCTGAGATGTCAAGTAAGCTTTTCTGTCTTAAGGTGATCTCTAGATAGGGAAAGGGGGAAAGTCTTAATCTGCTCGATACTGTGCTTTCCTGGTTGTTCAATATAAATGTCATTTCTTCTGCTCTCATTTGTGTTTCAGTATTTGAATTGACATTACCTGCAGGGGATGGTCATGCTTAAACAGCAAAACAATAAACTGTTGTCCCGAGTCAGTGATGACCTCTAGTGTGTCTAGAAGAAACAAATGCAAAACAACTCTTAGAGGTATACACCCTTAACTGAACTCACACAATATTCCTACAGATAAAATCCTGCTGACATGATAATCCCAATGCAAAATGACAAAGTCCAGAAAAACAATCCACCGTGAGCAGGCATTGTACAATTAATAAACAGCAAAATTAGCGCCCCAATAGAATTACTGAATAGACTACAAAATAAATAGACTTTAAATATACAAAATAAATGAGAAAAGAAAACAGACTAGGCAAATTCAGAATAAAATAAACAACTCTGGAAATAAAATATATTCCTAGAAACTAAAAAATAAGTGAAAAGTTAAATAGATAATCATATACAACTGAGGACAACAATAGTAAACTAGATGATCTATCTAAGGAAGTTAGAGTGAGACAGAAAAATAATAGAGAAATGTTGAAAATATCATAAATATGAGATGCTAGAGTATTTAAATAGTTTTAAAAGGTAATGACAAAATTTTCTAGAAATTATAAGAGATGAATTCTCAAATTCAGGAAGCACAGCGAGTCCTGCTTAGGATGAATAAGTAAAAAATCTACATCTAAGCCCATCATGGTGAAACTACCAAAGGCAGAGAAAATTTGAAAGAAAAAGTGTGAGTTTAAGGTAAAAATTAGTAAAAATTCTTCGGGGATTTATTTGTGCAAATACTGAAAGACTGGATGTAAATGTACCTTTATTTTTATTTCTTTTGATATTCTGTGTTTAAATAGTTTTAGAGTAAAAATTATTCATACTGGGATAAATCTGTACTATAATAATATCCGTATCAAGTATACTTGTGTACAGTCTAATTTGTACCTTAAAAAGTAATACTATACCGTACATGAGAATAAACTCAAAATGAATAAAAGACTTAAACGTAACTCGTGAATCCATAAAAATTCTAGAAGAAAATGCAGGCAACAAAATTTCAGACATCATACGAAGCAGAATTTTCACTGATACATCACCTAAGGCAACAGAAACAAAGGAAAAAATGAACACAGGGGACTACATCAAACTGAAAAGCTTCTGCACAACAAAAGAAACAACCATCAAAATGGAAAGGGATCCTACTATGTGGAAGACCATAATCGCCAATGATGCATCAGATAAGGATTAATATCTAAATATATAGAGTGCTTATAAAACTCAACCATAGGAAGACAAAGAACCCAATTAAGAAATGGGCAGAGGAGCTAAATAGACACCTCTCCAAAAAGGACATACAAATGACCAAGAGACATATGAAGAAATGCTCAACATCACTAATCATCAGAGAGATGCAAATTAAAACAATAATGAGGTATCACCTCATACCTGTCAGAATGGCCGCCATCAACAAACCATCAAACAACAAGTGCTGGAGAGGGTGTGGAGAAAAGGGGACTCTAGTACACTGCTGGTGGGAATGCAGACTGGTGCAGCCACTATGGAAAACAATATGATGTTATCTCAAAAAATTAAAAATTGAACTGCCATTTGACCCAGTGAGTGATTCTACTTCTAGGAATATACCCTAAGAAACCTGAAACACCAGTCAGAAAAAATATATGTACCCCTATGTTCATAGCAGCACTATTTACAATAACTAAGATCTGTAAACAACCTAAGTGTCCATCAGTAGATAAGTGGATAAAAAAGCTGTGGTACATGTACACAATGGACTACTATGCAGCTGTAAGAAAGAAAGATATCTTATCCTTTGAGATGGTATGGAAGGACCTGGAGAGTATTATGCTAAGCGAAACAAGCCAAGCAGAGAAAGGCAAATATCACAAGATCTCACTTATTTGTGGAATATAATGAACTAAACAAACTGATGAACTAAATTGACCCAGAGACATAGAGGTGGGGTACAGACTGACAAGCCTCAGAGAAGGAGGTTTGGGGGGGAAAGAGATAAACCACAGAATTTACATGCATGTATGCATGACCAATGGACATAGACAACAAAGCTGGGGATAGGATGGGGGTGTGGGGAGGAGGGTGTCAATGGGGGGAAAAGGAGAAACATCTGTAACAAAAACAAATGATTTAAAAAAAAGACTAATTGGTTTAGTCTTAAAATGTGAGTTGGTTCTTTATAAATTATGGATAGACACATACTAAAAACAAAGATCCTGAGCCCTTTCCTTTTGGTATCCTGGGGTGGGGAGAAGAATGAAGCTGACCACAAGTCATTCATTCCGTCAGCCTTTATCAGACACTTGCCAGGTGCCAGGTTACTCACACTGGCATTGGAAAAATAGTGGATCAAACAGGACAGGCATGGACCTTATTCACTAGGAACATATATTCTAGTGGAAAAGACAGACAATAAGTAAAGCAATTAAATAATTGCACATGGTGGTAAGTTCTTTGAAGAAAATAAATGTAGAAAATAATGGTGGGCAGGGTAGGGAAGGCAGTATTCAATAGTGTGGTCAAGAAGGCACTCTGAGAAAGTGATGTCTGAGTTGAGAGCTAAAGAGAGGCAGCAGCTAACCTGGAAGATCCATCCTTCTAGCCTCGGGGAAAGCACAAGCCCTGAATCAGAAATGGGCTTGTTCCTTTCCAGAAGCAGAAGCCTCTGAGGCAGAAGGGGGTGAGTAAGGGCAAGAGTGGTGGAAGGTAATGTCAGGGAGGCAGGCACAGGCCCTCTCTGAATGTCAGCACAGTAACTTACCATGGAGGAAAGGTACTTGCCAGCCAAAAGCCCTGTGCCCATAGGATTGACATGGACATAATGGCCTTCTTAGCAGTGGGAAGTCTCAGTCCCTGGGCAGATGCAAAAATAAAGTGGACATCCATTTAAGCAGTAATTGCATGTTTGAACTCAAGATGTTTCAAGTTCCTTTGAATTCTAAAATTCTATAATGCCATCAGGTAGGAACTGCTAGAGGACATTTCTAGATTAGTTGAACTAATTAAACAAAAAGTATTTGTAGAAAGATACCTGGGCATTCAAAAACGAAGAAATTCAGTGCTCTCCTGAGAAGACATCTACAGAAAATGAAACAGTGGAATGATGCAGTTAAGTCTGTGATGCAAAGAGGAACCAACATCATGTAATACTTTATGAATGGATTGTTTTCTTACTAAGACTGGATTTTAGATTGTAAGGTAGTATAATACAGAATTTGTAAGAATTTTTATTTTGAAATGTAACTATACCAAGTATACTACCATGAATCCAAGAGTTTCTTCGGCAGTTAGGAGTTCAGCTCAATGTACATTTATTGAGTGTCTGCCATGTGCTTACCCCCATAAAGTAAACAGGTAGTAGTAAATCAGGCTTGGTCCCCATTGAGCTTTCAGCTTAATAAAGAGAAAAGGCATGTACACAAATCAGTGTCCTTTGAAACAGAAAGTTTAAAAAATGCTATACTGGAGATACGGTGAAAGTTCGTAGGGGACCACAAAGGAAGGGCTGATCAGGAATAGCCTGAACTAAGCTCTCAAGGATAAGCATGATTTTGTCAACCAGCAGAACAGGAGCCATTGAGAGTAGTGTGGACTGTAGGGCATACTGAGAATTCATTCAACACTTTTTTGATGGTCCATGCATTTTTTTATGCATTTATGATAGCTATAAAGGTTAGGAAAATAAAATTCTGCTTTCAAGTAAATATATAATGTCAAGTGGTGATGAGTATTGTGAGAAGGAAATAAGGCAATATACCTGGGGGCTGGGACGGGGTTGCTGTTTTAGAAAGAGTGATCAGGACAAGTCTTCCTGGGCTTTATTTGAGCTGAAATTCTGAAGAAGTGAAGAAGCAAGCCACTAGCTATCTGGGGGCAGAGTGCTGTGGCCAAAGAAAATAGTAACTGCAAACATTGGGGTAGGAGTGTGCTGGGCATGGTCAGAGAACTAGGAGGTCTCTGCAGCTAGAGTGGAGTCAGAGAGGGAAGATATGTAGCAGATGCAGTCAGAGGCAGAGGGCAAGGCTGGGTTATTGACACTGAAGGTTATGTAGGGACTTGGGGTCCTTGGAGGTTGGGAGCCACCAGAGCTTTTCAAACAGGAATGATATTAACTGACTCTTTGAAGCGATTCCTCTGACTGCTGTGAGAATAGACTGTAGGTGCTGTGGGTGGAAAAGGCAGGCTAATTAGGAGGTTATTGCAATATCCAGAAGTTAGAACAGTAGATTAGAAGCTCTTTCAGGCTATGCCGAGTTAGATGATTAGAAATGATTCTAGTAGGCTGTGGGGAGCTATTAATATTTGGGGGTTGATTATATCAGAGCTAAAATTAAGGAAAAATAAATAAGTAGTATTTATGATGGATTGTGTGAAAGAAGCTATGCTAGAACTTATGGTTTAAAAATAATTTGCTTTTGTATTTTTATGAATATCAAGAAAGAAAAAAGCAGTTTATTGGAAGACATCAAAAGACTAAAGCAAGACAAACAAGCTCTTGAAGTAGACTTGGAAAAAATGAAGAAAGAAAGAGACCAAGCCAAAGATCAGATTGCTTATGTCACAGGTAAAACACTGAACTAAAACAGTTTATACTCATAACTATTTAATAATGACGTTAAGTAATAGCAATTGGACAGAATAATCAAAATGCTATTCCTTGACATATGTTATATTAGAAACTTTTTTTTAATTAGTAATAGGTATGTGCATCTGATTGGTTTTATTGGGGATAATTGTAAGATCAAAGAAAATCAAGGATTCTCTTGAATTTGTGGCATTTTATATTTAGTTGTTTACACGTCTATCATCACAGCTAGATTGTGACCTTCCTGAGGACATGGTCTGTTTTTTTTATTCCTGGGTCTAAAACATAGGCTCTCAAGTATTTGCCAAAAGAACAAATAAATGTACTATGTTTGTAGAAAACAAAAGGATAAATATGGCATTCCCCACTGGGGAAAACAGAGAGTAAGAGAATACGAAAGTTTAATATAAAAAAAAATTACAAATTAACATGAGACAGGGTGCTCAATAAGGGTCTCAGGGAGGAGTGGCATTTGATCTGGGTCCTGGCAGGTGGTAAGTGAAAGAAGGGAGGGATGCTTGCTGTTCCGTTGTGTTTCACGAGCTTGTTAATGAGTGCACCTGCGGATTGGATGGCAGAACATAGGGCCAGAAAGGTAGATCAGAAGTTCTTGTTTGCCAAAGTAAAGATTTTTTCCTCTGTGATATTATGATCTTCAGTTTAAGATATGTACACTAAAATCCACTTACCTGTTTATAAGAAAATTATATTTACTTTCCTCATCTGTAAAAATAGAATAATAAGAATAGTACTGATAAGTTGTGTTCAATAAAATCATGCTTGGTAAGCACCTACTAATGTTTGCTATTGTTACTTTTTAATATAATTATAGGAATGCTTTATTTTTATTATATCTTGAATTCAATATTTATTTTTCCATGGAAACAAGTTTACTTTTATAATGAAAATCAGTGGGAAAACAATTGATGTATCAAAAATTTCTACATAGCTAACTTTGTTATGAGTTTGAGGATTTAGATTGTAAACACAATCTTCATCTCCCATTACTAATAATAAGTTAAACTAGATACTACCTTGCATACATCAGTTGTTTTTTTGCCTCTTATTTTTTCATAATGCTTTCATTAGATAGGTATTTTTTTCATTTAAAATCTTTTCATTTCATATTTTAAAAAATGACAATCAGTTATTGAGTTACTTTATGCCCCCCTATAGGTGAAAAATTATATGAAATAAAAATTTTAGAAGAAACACACAAACAAGAAATCAGTCGTCTGCAAAAAAGATTACAGTGGTATGCAGAAAATCAGGAACTTCTGGATAAAGATGCTGTTCGACTTAAAGAAGCAAATGAAGAAATTGAGAGGCTCAAACTTGAGGTAATAGATCCTTACAGAATGTATTTCTGTAGGTCAACCCTATTAAATTCAATAGCTTTTCTTAGCTTTGTGTTATTGAACCAATACTCTAAATTAAAATACCTGGTTTGGGTTTGCTTTTAGATGTATAGTCTATTTTATATTAGACTGAAAATAAATCCAGGCTCTTTATCATGACCAGTCAGGTCCCCACGTGGTCTGAATTCTGCCTGCCTCTCCACCCTCATTGGAACCACACTTGCATAAATCTCTCTCCTTCAGCCATACCAATCCCCTCCCCCCACATTGATTCTTGAACATGTCAGGCTCAAACCACTTGTTGCCTTGGCCTCGAATACTCGGGACTTGGTTCTTCATATGTCTCTCTTTGTTCAGGTCTCAGCTCAACTTTTTATTCCCCTGAAAGACCTTTCCTGACCACCTTATTTAATGTGGCTGCCAATTCACCCTCTCTGACCCTTTCTGTCCATCCCTTTACTCTTTTTTTGTTTCTGAGGTTATTTTGTTACTAATTTACTTTATTAGCTTATTAACTGTCTCCTTCCACTAGAGCATAAGCACCATGAAAGCAGGGACCTGGTTGGGCTGTGTGCCTCCGTATCTCCAGCACAGTGCCACATCTGAGAATTAATAAGCACATGAGTCAACTACCACTGTGCTTCCCTCCTAGTGTTTCCCCGGTATATTTTAAATATGCTTCTTTACATGTTTTTACTTACTGATAGGTCAAGAAACTAAAAGCTGAATCTGGAAATCCATCCATTCAGCAGAAGATACATTTAAAAGATAAAGCAGCTGATGCCAAAAAAATTCAGGACCTAGAGCGACAAGTATGTGTTCAGGGTAAATTTTCACTAAGGTATTTTATATATAGTCTATTGTGCTTTTTCTTGTTTCAGGAGTTCCTATAAGATGTAGTCAACCTGGAAATTCTTGTTTTTATTCGTTTATTTTAATATAAAACTGTCCCTACTTTAAATATACTTGATATATTTAAAGTAACATTAATAAAAGTAGTAAACAAAATAATTTTATATAATCTGTGGTTTATTCATCAAAAGTTTTTAGGCTTATGCCTCATTAGATGGTAGACCTATTGGCAGATTATTTTTCATCACAGCTCTATTAGACATCTACGAAGGGGAGGGAGAACTTAGACACTTGGTGTAGAGTTAGGATTCCTTCTCTTGACGAAAGGTAGGTGACAGGAGTACAGGAAAGGGGGTCCTTGAGTTGGGAACGTGTTAGTAGTGCTGGGAAGTATTGCAAAACACCTTGGAAAGAGAACATTCAGCACCCCAAAGAGCTGGCCATAACTTGGAGCTCTTACTCACTGTTTACATTTAAAGATACTCATTTATTTCATGGTAAGTATAGCTGGGAGACCTTTTAAAAAAATTATATAGTAACATTTATTAGGATAAATATGTTTTTTTCATTGAAGTAGTTGTTTTGTAGAGTTAACTTCTTCTTCTTTTTTTAAAACTTTCTACAGTCTAGTCTTTCTATTCATAACTAAATATTAAAACAAAATAAGAATTTCCAGCCTTGTTCATAGGAGAACATGATTCTTCAGTCAGGTTATGACACTTAAATGTGTGGCTGTTATTTCATCATAAACCCAAAATTGTGAGGTCATCACTAAGCTGAATATTATCCCAGTTTTATGAGAAGACAGAAAACTAAGGAAAAATTAACTGTTACTTGGCAGTGTGATTCAGTGGTCTACAGGAAAGGAACCTCAGAGGTGATTGGAAGAGCTAGAAATAATTCTGAAGTAACTAGTTGAGGATTGCTTGGCTTTTTTCCAGTGCTTAATATTTAGATTAGCCATCCAGAATTGGGAGAGAAAAAAGACCAAAGGAAATACTTCTCTAATAAATTTATTTTAAAAGAAATAATGTAGAAGTGAATGTGTGGAAAAAATGTTAAGCGTGCTTAATAGCAAAATTAAGATGTGAAATGGTGATAACATTGACTAGAAATACAACGCTTTATAAAAGTAATCTCTTTTATTAACTTTTTCATTAAAAATTTATTGGTTTATCATCTTAGATATCTTTCTAAAATATTATCATTAATATTTTGTATAGTTTGCTTCATGTACATTTTAGATCTTATCAATTCTATTCCCATGAACATTTCTGTCCTAATATTTTTAAACTTTAGTATGTATTTTTTAATCAAGACATATTAGAATATATTCTGGATCATTTTGGAGTCATATGTTCTGAAATAGATTACAAAATAATATATCTCCTTTTCTAAATAGCACATAAGTAAAAATGGGGCTAATTAGATGCATATTATAATGAAAATTTTAGATTGGATGCATTTGTTCATGCCTTTATTTAATAGAATATTCCATAGTTAATTTTCAGTGAAAATTGTTTTAAATTTTACTTTATATGGCAGTCACACACAAAATAAATCAGCCACTGATAAAAGTACTCTTTTATTAGTGATTAAAAAGTATTAAAAAGCAAAATTAAAGAAGATACAAAGAAAATCTGATTCTCCCCCAAAAGTGTAATATATATTTCAAGGTATCAACATCAGATTGAAAATATTTCTTAAAATTTTAAATGAATACACTGTGAATACGTTAAAACAACTTCATTTTTTAAACTTAGATGTTTTAATACATGTGATGTATATGTATATACATTTATATGCTTACATAGGTATCAACATCAGATTGAAAATATTTCTTAAAATTTTAAATGAATACACTGTGAATATGTTAAAACAACTTCATTTTTTAAACCTAGATGTTTTAATACATGTGATGTATATGTATATACATTTATATGCTTACATCTAACTCAAATAACTAGGTTTTAAATACCAGAGGAAGCAAAGCTTTGAAAATTTTGCAGAGGAAATACATTATTAATATTTATATCTGGCTATATTCTAGTTTATGGTACATCAGTGAATATGCAAGCCATTTTTATGAATGAAATATTTGCTGTTAACTTTGCAAATGATGTGACCCTTAAGTACCTAATATGAACAATGTTCAATTTATAAATGGGATTTTGAGCACCAACAACCCATCTTGACTTAGGAAAGGTAGTTTTTGAGACCAGATAATAAAAGCCAATATTATCAAGTCCTCAGTATATGCTGGCCACTCTGCTGAGCACTTTGCCGAAATGAATATCATTTGTTCCTCATTTAATTGTATCAGTGCCATAAAATTGGTATTGTTACTAATGCCATTTTACCGATAAGGCAAACAAGATTTTGATTGAGGAGTTGACACCAGTCATGAAGCTAGTGGCACAAGTCTAACAAATGTGTTCTAACCACTGCACTAGAGTACCTCTTAGGTGCTATTTTATCTGATTGCACACTCAGAGGCTAGAATATTATTCAACAAAAGAATTTAGTATTTTAATATATATTTTTCAAAGATGTCTTAACCACAATACCATTAACCAAAGGTATACATACATATGCATATATAAAATAAGACTCTGGTTTCTGTGGATCCTGGTGCCATTCTCATACAGAAAGACAATATAATATTTTTTTTCACCTTTATTGATTTGAGAGAGAGAGAGAACATCGATTGGCCGCCTACTGCATGTCCCCCACTGGGGATCAGGCCTACAACCTGGGCACGTGTCCTGACCGGGAGAACATTAGTTTTTATCTTCTAATCCTCCTTTCTAATTGAAGTCATTTTAAAATAAATTAAACTTTATTTGGAGGGGCGTTAGGATAGGATGGAGATTGGTGCAGGAAGATATGTGTTTATTGCAGTAAGTTTGCATGTTCATGTGCACTTACATACTATTTCAGTCAGTAGATAGCATAAGCACTATCATTTGAGGGGATCTGTAGGAAAAAAGGTGGGAAAAGAGCTTTGTCCTCAAAAAGACTGGTTATTACGAGTAAAATAGTCCCAAGATTTATTTCAAATGCATATAAGAGGATTTCTGTAAATTTACCAGTACTTAATTAGACATTCTACAATAGGGTTGTAATCAGGTGATCAAAAGGTATAACATTGAAACTAATTTGTGCTGCTGTGCATTCAGTTCAGTCCTGAGCTATGATATAAGCATCTCTTTCAAATCCAGACATAACTGATCTAGCATAATCTATATTAAACCAATTATATATTTGCGAACTTAACATATATACAAAAATATTTTACTAGGTTAAGGAAATGGAAGGAATTCTCAAGAGAAGATATCCTAATTCTTTACCTGCTTTAATATTGGCTGCATCAGCAGCTGGTGATACAGTGGATAGAAATACAGTGGAATTTATGGAAAAAAGGATAAAAAAATTAGAAGCCAGTCTGGAGGGCAAAGATGAAGAAGCAAAGAGAAGTCTTCGTACCATGGAACAACAATTTCAGAAAATGAAAGTAAGTGCCATGTAGCCATAGAGATGACGGGGCTTAGAGATGGACCATTCTTAGATCTCATTTTAACAAATAACTCTAAACATCCTTTCCCACAAACCTTTACCATGCGAGTGTCAGATGCAAAAGAAACCTAGATTCATCCTTTTTGTCCTCCTTCAGTATAATCAAGCACAGGGTAATCTTTACATAAGTCCCTCTCTATGATATTAGGATTAGTGTAAATTAAGTCTTAAAAAGGCAAAGAAAAGCATCTCTGATATATATTCAGCATAAAATATTTTAAATTACCATGGTTGAAAATATTTTCACTGAAATTTACATGTTCAAAGGCCTGTTACTACAGTTATCAATTGTAACTATTGCACGTCACTCTCTTCACCAGGTTGTTAACTTTTTGAAGGCAAGAACTGAGTTTCTTTATCCCTAGAATCTGGCCCAATGCCTAGCATACAGTCATAGGTAAATAAATAGTGAATGAATGAACACTATCAGTGCCTATTTTCACAGAATAAATTATTGAGGTTATTTCATTTATGATAATAATCTCCAGGATACAAATTTTAAGTTGACTTACTCCCTTTGAGATTTCTAAATTGATATTAGAAAGCTGAAAATATGCTATATCTTAAAGACTTCAGTACCCCCAATTGCTTTTCCTGTTTATCCCCAAAGAGTATATAGTTTGTCAATTTCATAGAGAAGGGTATACATAATAGTTTTAATTGTGAGGTTTAAAATAAGCTTTGGGGTATACAAACGTGTAAGCTAATATTTATGGAGCAACAAGAATTCAGAAATTATATAACGTATTGAGAATACATAATGTTCTGCTCTTCAGAGATTAGGACTGCATTTGACTGACTCAAAGAACACAGTTGGAAGCATCACAGTGTGTAATGAGTACCTGAATGAAGGCGTAGGTAGATCCCAGTAGGATGCAGGGCTTCCATGACTAATGAAATGTTTAGCAGTGGTTTGGCATTACAAAGACTCTTTTCTTCAGATTCAGTATGAACAGAGACTAGAGGAGCAGGAGCAGCTACTTGCCCAAAAATCGAAGGAAGCATCCCACTCCTGCAGAGTTAAAGCACTAGAGAAGGAACTCGACGACATTAAGGAAGCCCATCATATCACTGTGAGAAACCTTGAAGCCGAAATAGACATGCTTAAACATCAGAATGCTGAATTAGAACTCAAAAAAAATGATAAAGATGATAAAGATTTCCAGTCCATAGAATTCCAAGTGGAACAGGCTCATGCTAAAGCTAAACTGGCAAGACTCAATGAGGAGCTGGCTGCTAAGGGGAGAGAAATACAAGACCTTTCAAAAACTGTGGAGAGGCTTCAGAAGGAGAGAAGAATGATGCTGTCTAATCACAACTCTAAGGGTAGGGAGGAAATGACTGCAAAAAAGGTGAAGAAGGATATTTTGCACCCAGGTAAAGGATACGCTAGCACCTTCTCTGGAACCCCGGATGGCAAGCTTTACCAACCACATAGTTTTACTGATTCCCATATTTCAGAGGTTTTACAAGAAAACTGCAGATTGAAAAATGAACTGGAGAGATTAATTGTGGAGAGGGATGAGCTGAAGATGAAATTCGAAGTAGCTACAAACCAGTTTGAGAATTCCATGAAAAGGTAAAATGTGAGTTTGTTAATATATGGGAACAAAAAGATAAAAGTTTTTAAATTACAAGATGTATTTCTTCATCTGGATAATTAGTGATACCCTGAACTGAATTCATAATCAAAATTTAAGAAGTTTTATTACATTGCTAAGCATAGATCTGTTTCAGAGTAGGATCCACTACCTGTTGGAAGCCAGATTTTGATGAACCTGAATCTCCATGTCAACCCATGCCGTGTCCTTGGGCTGACCAGTCTTGTCTTCTTTCTGCATGTATTCAAATTGTGCTCGTGAGCTGACCCATTGGGCCTTCTCGCAAATAAATATCATTCTTTATGATTGCCATAAGCATCTGTCAAAAACAGCTATTAGGAAAACGAGTTGACTTTCTAAGAGAAAAGGGTCCTTTTTCCCAAAATAACTCTTCAAATTAATCTTATGATCACATTCATTCTTGTCTTGAAGAACTTGTAGTCATTCCTTTCCTCCTCAGAATCTCCAAGTACTGTCTACTGTCTCTTTCCTCTAAGGTTTCCCACAGTAAGATTTTTTCACCTGATCAAACCAAGTTCTAATCCTTTTTCTCTTTCTTGTACCAGTTTTCCACAAGTAGCCTCTTCTTTCTTTCCATCTCACTTCTTAAATATGGCTCTCATCCTCACCATTCTTTTAAACCTTGTCTCTCAGTAATGACCTTTCCCAGTCCAGCTGAGTTTTCTCCATCCTTGTTTTCCTTGACACTGTTGGTTGTACTGCCTTTCCTGAAGTGCTTTCCTCCCTTAAGCTCCAGGACCTTGGCCACTCGACATTTTTCCTGTTCATTTTAACCAACTCATGACTCTTCATTCTCCCTCAAAAATCTGACTTTCTAGGCCCAAGTTGCTGAATTTCTTCACTACCTTTTGCTTGTTTATGTTTTAAGTTCTTCCTCTTCCTAGAGCTTCCCAGGAAATTTCCTGTCTGTGTCTTCCAACTCTTATAATTTATCTAGTTAAGAGCCCTAGTCATAACTGCCTTGTAGCTCCTTGAGAATTGATGTAAGATTATACAACCTGTAAACACGATAACAGGTTTGATTGTAATTTAAAATAAGTTTGCAGGTGTATAAAAACATTTAATTTAATGTTTATGAAGCAACATATTAATTATGATATAACATATTGAGAATATATAATGTCCTGCCTTCAAAGATCAGGACTTCAATACATTTAACTCCTCAAGAACACAGAATTGGAGGCATCACAATGTGTAATGAGTACCTGCATGAAGGAATAGATAGGTCCTGGTAGAATACAGGAAGAGAATACGCATACGAAGCAGAATGAGCATAGCTAGCACCTGACAAATGTTTACTGATTGGCAGTGAGGTCTCATTGAGTCATCATGGTAACAATATTGCTTCTAAGTTGAAACTTTTTTTATAGTCCAGAAGGTGATAGTAGCCATGAAGCTATTTGGAAAGAATCACATTCTTTCCTAGAAATAATTTAAAATTCATGTTTTTCCTATCAATTTTTCTATACACTTATAAATTTTTAGTATTGTTAATCTGTTTCTCAGACCGCTCTGAGTCTGAGAAGCGAGAAGTAACCTTTCCTAGTCCCAGATTTAGGCTGTTTTTTATTATGAGCAGTATACCATGGGTGCTTCAGATTTTTATGCTTTTCTTAGGACCCTAATCAGTTTCCATGAGGGAATATTCCTATAATTAAATAAGCAACTGATATATTTGTAGTTTTGGGAATTGTTATATTAATAGGTATCAACACTGATTTACTAAATATCTGCTTTAAAATCTTGTTATTTTCTAATAATATTTCCAGTAAGAGGGGAAATGCTTTCCAATAAGAGAGGAAATGCTTAGCTATAAGAAATGTATCAGCTCTTAAAAAAAAAAAAAAAAAAAAGCAGCCCTGGCCGGTTTGGCTCAGCAGTTAGAGCGTCGGCCTGCGGTCCGGAGAGACCCGGGTTCGGTTCCCGCTAAGGGCATGTACTTCGGTTGCAGTTTGTCCCCGGCCCTGGTTGGTCGTGCGGGTGGCAGCCACCCGATGTGTCCCTTTCACGTCGATGTTTCTCTCTCTCTCTCCCTTCCTCTCTCTCCCTCCCACTCTATCTGTACAAAATATGGAAAAATATCCTCGGGTGAGGATAAAAAAAAAAAAAGAAATGTATCAGCTCTTTAGCTGTAACTTTACCATTAATTAAAATGCCTCTAAATGCATAAATTTAAATTAATTAGGTTCAGTTATCCTGTGTCCTGAGAATTACTGTAAAAATCATTTTATTCTCACAATGTGCAGCTGGCCCAGAGTCATATGCTTGGACCAAAAACTGGAGAATGTTTGCCTAGACAAAGCACTGACGATTTTAAAGGGAGCAGTTGTGATTATCCAAATAAGACTCTGGGAAAGAAATACGAGTTTTTTAAAAGGTGAAAAAGGCCTTTTGCTTTAAATCCAAACAATGTTTCGAACCTTTGGTTTCCTCACAGCCCCGGGCTGTGGGTAGAGGGAAAGCTTATCCTGGACTCTCAGGTTCAACTCTGCTAGCTCGAACCACAGCTCTGCTACTTACTGATCTGAGACCCTAGATACAGCACTCCTTCCTGAACTTCTTTGCCCCTACACAATTCAGTAAATAATTGTGAGGTCATGGAGTGGTTGTAAGAACTCAGGCAGTATATAATGTGTAAGTCACCTAGCACAGTGCAGTAGACATTGGAGCCCCCTCTCCCTTTGCTTCTTTAACTTCCAAGGCTTCTTTCACTATTTTTGTGCTAACTCTGATTTAGAGGTTGAAGAGCTGCTTTTATGTGTGGTTTTCTTTCATTTGTTCTAAAGGGTCAAGGAAGATACAGCAGCACACATCACATCTCTCAAAGCATCTCATCAGAGGGAAATAGAGAAACTCCTTTGCCAAAATGCATTAGAAAATTCCTCTTCCAAAGTAGCTGAACTAAATCGTAAAATAGCAACCCAAGAGGTAGGTGACTTAACAAACTTTCTTTGACTTTAATGTGATTTTTTTTTCTCAGAACTGTTAACAGAATATTAATTAGAAATATTTTAACTTCACTTTGTTATGTCGGTGATAGAAATGGTATTGTTGGCCGGATTTTATTTTTATCAGGATGCTGTTACCATATATTTAATTACTCTAAATTTATAGTTCAAAATAAGTGTTTTACAGTTTTGTCCCTACATTTCTCAAGTAGATCTTCTTCTAAGTAGGTATTAATGGATGGTTGAGGGCTATGTCTAATTGGAATGTGATCTTAGTACTTTAACTTGAATGTTAAACCATCTCCTTCTACCCCAAGTCCCAACTGACAAGTAATTGTCCTTGTCATTCTTGCCCTATTATCTTTTATTCATTAAACAAACTGATTCTAGGTCTCTGGACAGGCAGTGAGGATAAAATAATGAACAGAGAGATACACACACCTCTAGCCATTATGAAGCACAGTTTTTTAAAAATTATGACAGGGTCTGCTGATAGCTCATCTGCATCTCCTCAAAAGTGTCTTCCTTCTTGAATATGGTATATGTCTACCAGGGATACCTATGAATATCTACCTTGTGGCCCATCTCCTATGGTGTTAGTAAGTTGGAAAACCAGCATTAAAATAGAATGTGCAACTTACTTTCAAATGGTGTATCCAAGACAAAAAGCAGATATGGCAAACTGTTAACAGTTGGTAATTCAATTTGAAGAATATAAGAACGTTCATTTTGTTCTTCATCTGTTTTGTAGCTTTTAATTTTAAAAAACAAGCAGAGGGGGGGAAAACTTCAAGAAATAATTATCTCTTGCTCTGGCCGAGTGGGTCAGTTGGTTGGAGCTTCGTCCTGTACAACAAAAAGGTTGCAAGTTCATTCCTAGTCAGGACACATACCTAGATTGCAGGTTTGACCCCTGGTCAGGGCATGTATGGGAGGCAGCCAATCGATTTTACTCTCACTCTCTATCTCTCTCCCCCCCTAAAATCAATTTTAAAACAACGTATCATCGGGTGAGGATTTAAAAAAAAAAGAGCCCTTGCCAGTGTGGCTCAGCATGGACCTCGGGGTCTCGGGTTCAATTCCTGGCTCGGTCAGGATCGTGTAGGAGACAGCCAGTCAATGTGTCTCTCTCACATCAATGTTTCTCTCTCTCTTACCCTCCCTCCCTTCCACTCTGTCTAAAAATCAATGGAAAAATATTCTCAGGTGAGGATTAACCAAAAAAAAGAAAAAAATAATTATTTCACCACCACTTATAATTATTTAATAGCATCTTAATTAAAAATAAATTCCCCAATTGGGAAAGTTTTAAAATGGACTAGATATTAGATGTTTTGAAATTACTGTAAATTTTCTTAGGTATAAAAATGTTACTGTGTTTTTGTGAGAAAATACCCTTATAAGGAGATGCATGTTGAAATATTTGGGGTAATTTAATCTCAGATAGCTCAGAAATAAAGAACTGTGACTGTTTATAATACTTCAATGAAAAATATTTAAAGTGCTTTTCAAAAGGAACTGTTATTCAGCCTTGTAATAACCTGTGTAGTCTTTTTTCTCCTAAGAGTGGGGTGTCAGTGTGCAGTGTAAACATTATATCAAACAATTATGTAGAAAGGAGCAGTCTAGGAGAGATGGGAAAAGTAGCATCATTATGCCTTAGTGCCATAAATGTTCTTTTCCCAGAATTCTAAATGTAACATCACAAATTGTTAAGTTTTCTTAGTTTTTTGAGGGAAATATTTGTGTTATTTCTATTTCTTTGTCTAAAAATAAGACACTTATTTCACAGATGCTAGGCTTGTGTTATCTTTATTTAGTCAATAGCGTTTTTTGTTTTGTTTTTTTTTATCCTCACCTGAGGACATTTTTGCATTTATCTTCAGATAGAGCAGGAGGGAGAGAGAAACTTCTACATGAGAGAGACACATCGACTGGTTGACACCCACATGACCCCAACTGGGGCCAGGGACTAACCGCAACTGAGGTACGTGCCCTTAGCAAGACTCTCCGTTCCACAGGCTGACGTTCCAAACGCTGAGCCAAACTGTCCAGGGCTAGTCAATAGCTCTTTAATAAAAGCTATTATTCTACTAAAGCACAAAGTATAAAGATAATATTGGCCACGTCTTAAAATGCTTAGACTTTATAGAGGCTTATTTTAAAGGGTATTTTTCAGGCCTTCAGAAGAAAAGTAGAGATAAAGAAGCCAGGTAATTATACGGTGTTTAATTTTTAATATGTGGTGCTTTATATTAAATGTTGAAAGAAACAAAATAATGAAGTTATTCAATGAACTTAATTCCTATGGCAATTTATTTCTGTGTTAGAACTTGGTAATTTTAAAATATTAGGATCTTTTTTATTTTTTGGTACAAACAAAAGTCATTAGAGTTCGCCCTCTTATATTTTTCAAATAATGTTCAAGGAAGAGCTTTCTTAACTCAGAATTTCTAACACAATTTTCTAGGTACTTATAAAACATTTCCAAAATCAAGTGAATGAGCTGCAGGGTAAACAAGAGTCTCTGGTAGTTTCTCAAGTTCGAGAAGAAATCCTACAGAAAGAGGTAAGAAATAATGAAAATATTGGCCATTTCAATCATATTTATATTTTTGCATAAATTTTTTAACTTAAATGTACAAATAGACATAACCTACAAATATCACATCAAAATAATATTAACTTGTTTATGGTATGTCTGCATTCCCCAGATGTTGATATTTTCTGGGCAGGGGGGGAAATGGAATTGTAAAATTGGATGGTTAAAGCCATTTCTGCACTACGTACTAAGACTATTTAATTTGGTTAGGAAATAAGTAACGCAATCATGACAGTGATGTCAGATCAACAATAATATAATTACAGGAAACAGATGTTTTGGAAACTTAACATAACAATAATAATTATCGATTTTTCAGTATTTAGTATGAACTAGGCACTGTGATATAAGCTCTGTAGTCTTCACCATAACTCCAAAGGGTAGGTACTATTATTACCTTTTTTTTTTTGTTAATCCTTACCCAAGGGTATTTTTTCCATTGATTTTTAGAGAAAGTGGAAGAGAGGGAGGGGGAGAGAGAGACACATTGATTGGTTGCCTCCTGCATGCACCATGAATGGGGATTGAACTTGCTACCCTTGGTGCTCAGGCTGACGCTCTGACCACTGAGCAACACGGGGCTAATTATATTCTTAAAGGTACAATTAAGTAGATATAAATGAAGAGAAATTTATCTGTTCTTTGTCTTGTACCAAATTTCTGCTGACCTTTCTGTAATATATCCATTTAAAAAGTCTGCATATTTGGGGGGGGGGGGGTTGTCAGCAATGTTTAACATTTAAAATATTTAGATTCACCTTAATTTGCCTGTATTTTCACATTTTAAAACTAATTTAGGAAGTGTGTCTGTGTCTGTTTAGTAGTATCAGTGTTATTAGGTACTGGGTGTTTTCATGTAAAACATCATTGAATTTGTTAATTTTATCTATTTTCATTTACTTGTTAATTATTTTGCCTTTTGATGTTATCAAATCATAATTATATGATATAAGGAAAATACAACTAATTATTTCATCAAATCCAATATAAAGATCCTTCAGATCCTCTCCATTTAACTCTCTGGTGACATAAAATATCACCATTTTCTCTGTGGGCTCTGGTCTAAAAAAGGAAGTACTGAACTGTAATTTCCCATGTGCCCTTCATCTCTTCACCCTCAGGACCTAAGACAGCAGCAAGCACAGGAAGTTTATTACTTCGTTATCTCTATTTTATATGCATACATTTATTTGTGGAATGAATTATAAATGATAAGAACCAGTAGAAAATTACAAGTAGGATTATAGGGAGTTGACAAAAGAAGGATCCATATTTAATGAATTCTTTCTGTATTATTTAATCTCAAAAGTAATCACTCCATTAATAAGTACTTTACAGCAAAAGTGAATACACCAAAGAAAAGGGCCCAGCTTCATTTCGAACGCCATAACCAGCCTGACATACATGGGAGGGAAAGGTGGTCCAATTATCTGAAACCTTTTGGAATGTGAGGTCTGTTCAGATCTAGGATGACCCTTTACTTCCTGGACATAGAGAAGGAAAGCTATTATCCTAACAACCCAAGATTCCTTTGTTAACAAGCAGCCTCTTATATAGGGAAATCATACATAAAGAAGATGTGGTTAACATTCTTACTTCTTAAGACTACCTGTTAAAAATGAATTATTTCCTTATCATAGTTTTTCATTTAACTTCATACCTCAATTGTAGATTACAAAACTCTTGGAAGAATTGAGAGAGGCCAAAGAAAACCATACACCAGAGATGAAACATTTCATGGGCTTAGAAAAGAAAATTAAACAGATGGAAATGAGACATAAACAGAGAGAGCAAGAACTTCAACAGGTAAAGTAGTAAATCATATTTACATATTTCTATAGTTTTTCACTTTAAAGTGCCTCCAGTTTGCTGTAGTTTTGTCATCCCTAGCAGAACTTGCTTTGTAAAGTGTTTCTGCTTTATAATGACCTTATTAACAATATATATATAGCTTTTAAGAGAAAAATGACTTTAAATCTCAAATACGTGAAGATTGGTTTGCCTTATATGTGAAGAAATAGGAGAAACAACTTGTATCATGTTGTTAATTTTTGGTAGGTATCTAAAAAGTTTATTTCAATAAATGTTTGTAAGAAATAGATCTAGCCTTGGCCAGTTTGGCTCAGCGGTTAGAGCGTCCACCCGCAGACAGGAGAGGCCCGGGTTTGGTTCCTGCTAAGAGCACATACCTTGGTTGCGGTTTATCCCCACCCTGGTTGGGGTCAATGTGTCTCTCTCGCATTGATGTTTCTTCCACTCTCCCTCCCGCTCTATCTGAAGATAAATGCAAAAAAAAAAAAAAAAGTCCTCGGGTGAGGTTAAAAAGAAATCTACATTAAAATGTGATCATTTAAACTATGTGCCTAGCTCTAGTAATATCATTACTGTACTTAATCACAAACAGATGAATTAATAGAAATTAAAAATAGCAGAAGTAAGGGCATGATGATGTGTTTTAGGCATTAGCCTTGGTGCTGATATTTAACTTTGCTTGAACCAGTGTATTACTGGCTTGGTCTGGCACAGTAAAATATTTTAAACTGGAAGGCTTAAAAAACTAATTTTCTCACAGTTCTGGAGGCTAGAATGGCAGTTCCAGCTGATTCATTTTCTGGTGAGAGCTCTCATCCTAGCTTGTAGATGTACTTACCTCTGTGTGCACCGCAGGCTGGAAGAGGCAAAGTAGAGAGACAAAGAGCCTCTTCTTATAAGGATACCAATCCAGTCATAATCAGATTTGTCTAGGACCCCACCCTTGGGGCCTCATATAACCTTAATTAGTTCCTTACCCTAAATACAGTCACACTGTGAGTTAGGGCTTCAACATATGAAGGGGTAAGGGGGAAGCACACACTCACTCTAAAACAGTGTACATTTATACATTCTTTTCAAACAGATTTACCACATCGGTGCAAAGCTTTATGATTGACCTGAGTTCCACAGAGAAGCCCTGAGTCTATTTAATCATATCAGGATTCCAGCTTTTTATCATTATAGGACTACAAAATGTGAAATGTATTTCTTATTCTTACTTAGACTTTTATCTGTGGAATTCTCTTAAAAACACATTGCATACCAAGAAATCATCATCCACAGTAGAATTAAGGCATCACAGTGTATCATCATTTATCCAGAGCCTACCCTTCCTTATGTGTCTGTTGTAGAAAATGGTTGTAAGTTGTTGATAAATATATTGAGTATTTGCTTTCTTACTTGCTAGTCACATACTGAATTATATATAGCCTTATGTCAAATAATTATTTTGTAGTGTTATAAATATATGCTTAATAAGTTATATGTGTATTTATGAAAATATTTTATTATTATAAGACGGGTTATAAATTTTGACTTTTATTTGCTAAAGCAAAAATGTTGTAGAATTTTAAAGATATCCTTGTTATGAAGAAGGTGATGGATTTCAGTTTCATAGTAAAATGCTAAATTAAGATGTCATCTAGATGGCAACATTGATCATTCTGACTTTAGTTTCCCTCACAAGAAGACCCTCTAGCAACCATTCATAAACAAGGCAATTTTGAAAAATCTCAGACCACAGAAGTGAGTCTGAGGTGCCCTTCTGCCCCACAGAGACCAAGAAGCACTACATTAACACGGGTAATAGGAGCAGCCACACTCTGACAGCATCGCCCCTCCACAAGCCACCGTGATGCTGCACCAAAAGGCTCCCTGGGGCCTGTTTTTTCCTCCAGTGGGAAAAAGAGAGCCCAATGTGACCATCCAGCCTGCACCACTGTGGGTTGCCTCCCAGGAGGCCCACTCAGGTCTCACCCCATGAGGATTTCAGGGCAGAATCTATGGGCCTCAACCACTGGGGATCAGATTGTAACCGAAAAGTTCATGAACTCACCTCTTGCCATGGACACACTAAATCTTTAGCTACATATAGAACAGTTTCCTCTGGAGGTGGAGGAGGTGTGAGGGAACCAAACTAGCTGAACAACTCCTACATATCAAGCAAATAAGGAAAACCCACATCAGAGCAGGTAGGAAAGGGTGAGACAGGATCTCACTAAGAACCTCCACCTCCAGCATAGTGACCCACAATCAAGAGGGAACTCAAAACTCATGTCTTTTCCCTGAGGAACAGAGTTTGAACCCCACATTGGGTACATTAACTTTTAAGACCTGCACCTGAGAGGTAAGCCCCCAAAACAAAGTTTTGAAAGGTATTGGGGCTTGTGCCCTGAGACCCACAAGGCTGTACTGAACTGAGAAACAGCTCTTAAAGGCCTAGTACATATACCCACCCCAGGACTCAATGCAGAGGCAGCTGACTTAAAAGCACCCAGGCTTTCTGTGAAAGAGCTTTGTTTATTGTACAACATTGGTCTGAGGAGGAGGCATCTAATACCAAATACATCTAGGATCCTACTGAAATACTTTCTAGGCCAAGGGTGGTGGGAGCCATCTTTATACTCTTCCTCTTGCCCTGCGACAACTTGCCAATATCTTCCAGAAAGGAACTTGACCCTCACTGGGCACCTCAGTTTTAGTGGCTGCCACCCAAGCGACACCTCCAGGTTGCTTAGCCCTGGTGGTTAACAGGACTTAACTTTTGGGGTTCCATAGGACAGTATATATTTGTATACTTTAAAGCTGCTGCCTGAGGGTCTGGCTTCTAATCAGCCTGAATGTAGGTACTGACTGAAATCCTCCCCTTTGAGACACTGACAAGTCTTGACACACCCCCAACTAATAGAAACCCCTAAAAATAAAATAGGCTGCTCAGACAATTACTAAAGTTTTAGAGAAAACCAAGAACAAGAACATGTAAGGCAGAATTGAGTAACAGGTTCATCTACATGGCCCCCTCCTTCAAGACTGGGACAGGTGGCTGTTTTATGTAATGTATAGAAACTAACACAGAGAATCAAGAAAAATGAAGAAACATTGAAATATATTCCAAAAAAGAACAAGATAAAGCCTCAGGAAAAGATCTTCATGAAGTAGAGTTAAATGATTTACCTGTTAAAGAGTTCAAAATAATAGTCATAAAGATACTCACCAAGCTTGGGAGAAGAATGAATATACAAAGTGAGAACTTCAACAAAGAGAAATTATAAGAAAATACCAAGTAAAAGTCACAGAACTGAAGAATACAGTAACTGCACTGAAAAATACAACCCAGGAGTTCATGGAACGGAAGAAAAGATCAGTGAACTCAAAGACAGGACAGTGAAGATCATCCAGTCAGAGCAGCAAAAAAGAAGGAAGAAGACAGAATAAAGAAAAAAAAATGAAGATAGCTTAAGGGACTTATGGAACACCATCAAACAGTGCATTATATGGTTCCCAGGAGAGGAGAGAGAGAAAGGGACAGAAAACTTATTTGAAGAGTACTTTTTCATAACCTGAAATTTTTCATAACCTGGAGAAGGAAACAGCATCCAGATCCAGGATGCTGAGAGTTTCAAATAAGGAACACCCTAAGAATTACAAGACATATTGTAATTAAATGATCAAAAGCTAAAGACAATGAGGAAGCTTCATAAGACCATTAGCAGAAACTTTGCAGTCTAGAAGGCAATGGCACAAAAATATGGCACAAAAATATGGCAGAGAGGGTGAAAGGAATTGAGAAGTACAAACTTTCAATCATAAAATAAGTCATAGTAATGTACACCTTAGGGAATATAGTCAGTAATGTAGTAACAATATATGTTAACAGTTGGTTACTACATATACTGTGATGATCACTTCATAAGGTATAGAAATGTTGAATCACTATGATGTACCCCTGAAATTAATACATTGTATGTCAACCATAATTTAAAATTTTAATTTGAAAAAAGTACTGAAAGAAAAAACTTCTAACCAGAATACCCAACAAAGCTGTCATTCACAACTGAAGGAGAAATGAGTGTTTCATATGAACAAAAACTAAAGGAGTTATCATCACTAGACTGGCCTTATAAGAAATGTTAAAAGGACATCTTTAAGCTGAAACAAAAGGGTGCTGATTAGTAATAGAACAATATATAAAAGATTAAGTCTCACTGGTAAAGGTAAATATATAGTAATATACAGAATAATCTAATATTTTCAAAGTGGTGGGTAAATCACAAAGACAGTATGAAGGTTAAAAGGCAAAAGTAGCCAAAATATAACTAATAATTTCTTCAGGGATACAAGGGATAAAAAGATATAAATTGTGGCATCAAAAACAAAACAACAAGGGAGAAAAAAATGTAGACCTTTTAGAGTGCATTCAAACTTAACTTGTTATCAACATAAAATAGACAAGTTGTTTTATAGAAATAATCCTCATGGCAACCACAAAGCAGAAACTTATAGTAGATACACAAAAGGTAGAAAGGAATCTAAGCATACCACTAAGAAAATCATAAAATCGCACAAGAATAAGAAGGAATAGAAGAACTACAAAACACCTAGTAAAACATTTTTAATGTCAAGTCTCACTGTACGTACTTATAATTACTTTAAATATAAAAGGACCAAATTCTCCCACCAAATTACAGAGAAGCTGAATGGATTTTTATTTATTTCTTTTAAAAAAAGACCCATCTGTATGCTGCCTGCTGGAGACTCACTTCAGTTTTAAGGATGCAGACAGACTGAAAATGAAGGGATGGAAAAAGATATTCCCTGCAAATGGAAACCGAAAGAAAGCTTTGGTAGCTACACTTATATCAGAACAGATAAGACTATATGTTAAAGACTGTAAAAAGAGACAAAGAAAGTCACCACATAATTAAAAGGGGTCAATACAATAAGATATAACATTTAGCAATAAGAAGATATAAAATCTAACATAGGAGCAACTA